AGTAAATAAAATGAAACGTTGCTAAACATCCTATTTTTCTGCACTAGTCGCCATATTTTTCTGCACCAAGCAGGCTAATGAAAGACGGGTATACGTCGCGTCGTGGGCTACAAGGAAACTGTGCCCGGTCAGTCAGGTTCCCACTAGCTCTTCATCGAATTCTATCTGTGAAGTGTTCTTATATGTGCAGTGACCTCGGTTCTCCATCCCATCCGCATGACAAGACGCTGTTCCTCGGCTGTACGTTATTATCTTTGTACCTTTATACACATCGTTTTGAATTTGTATTATAGGTATATTTGGTTTTGTTTTAATATATAGGCATACTCTGTATTGATTTTGTATATTGTTCTACCTGGTTTTAATTTTTTATTTAAGCATACTGGATTTGGGGTGTTTTTAATGTCTATCTGGTTTATAATTTACCTGGTCTAGATTCTGTATATACCAGGTATATATACTTGGTTTAGACTCTGTATATACCTAGTTTATATACCTGGTTTAGATTCTGTATGTACCTGTTTAATATACTTGGTTTAGTCTCTGTATATACCCGGTTATATACTGGGTTTAGACTCTGAATATACCTGTTTAACATACTTGGTTTAGACTCTGTACACCTGGTTTTGGTTTTGATTTGCCTTTAAGTTCGAATACGTGCAATAGCGTTCCTACATGTTTAGCCTATGTCTTTTTCCGTGATCTTCTTTATAACTGTAGAATAGTTTACCAAATACATACTACCAAATACAAAACAATTACTAACAAATACTACTTAATATCATCTTTTGACTATGAAAGATAGCCACGCAAATACGTGGAATACGCTCAGATACGCTCCAAAACAAAGATTGTAGCCCTAGCCACTAATATGTTCACATGCTTATCGGAAAAGGGCATAACTCCTTAAAAGACGGGTATGGCCCAAAAACTTAACACCAGATTTTAAAAAAAATATGTTAAAAACTGTAGCTTCTATCGCGTCCTATCACGTTCGTTTTATCATAATACAAGTTTCCTAAACGGTTCAGAACAATCTGATCAAAACTCTGGCCTCCAGCTGTGTGGACATGTAACGACGTTTATCTCCATTTCTCTCTCTATATAAAGAACTCTACAGATTACAATAAATCAATTCGGGATTAACTGTACGGTAAATCATTACAAAACAAACAATTATTGTGAAATTATAACATCGTCGCTTTGATCTAGGTAAAAACTATATAATATTCGATTCCATTGGATTGTATAATTGTATTGATTTGTTTAGTGGGGTTATAATTTTACGTTCCAGATAAAACCATATTGAAATATAATCGATTGTGTCAAAACTAAAATTAGTAATTTATATAGAGCTATTCCGTCATTAAAAATAATAACATATAACATCAATAATCCTATTCTGACTGAACTCAAAGAGGTGTAAACATGTATATACTTTAAATCTAGATTAAGAACAAGCACAATGTACTCTAAATCTAGACTAAGGACATCGATACCTTACATCTAGATATCTAGACTAAGGACAATGTACTTTAAATCTAGACTAAGGACGATTGACATCGATATATACCTTAAATCTAGACTAAGGACAATATACATGCATATACTTTAAATCTAAACTAAGAACACTGTGCATATGCATATAGATTTATATGCTTTAAATCTAGACTATGGACAATACACATCTGTATATGTTAAATTATTACTTTACCTTTGCGTTTAGTGCAGTAGTGTATGATCCAGTTTGGATAGCCACCAAATCATCACGGTGAGTTTCCATATTAGTCTACAATTACACACAAGGACATTTAAAGACAATCTGATTAAAACACAGACCCTATTTCGTTTCGTTTTTTATAGTTCAAAATTTCGTTTTACTTGTCTTTACTACACTAGGATCTGGAATAGTTGTTATCATTTACGTGTTCTGGATGATGGGAGTGTTTAGGCAATGAAACGGTCTGTTACTGCGAGCTTTTGGCGCGTGATGCATGGAACTGTGGGTAATCAGCTAGAAACATCAATGCTAATTGGTTAATCAAATGTCCGACGTTATAGGGTCAAAAGCCGCTCGTATGACCTCTGACGCGACCTATCACTACAACCGACCAAATCTTCATGTAGTGTAGGCCATCGGAAGTATAAAAGAACGAAACGAAATAGAGATCTATATTTTAATCCGACTGATTTCAAGAACTCGTTAATTTTCCTGTGAGTCTTGATGGCTCAGTTATTATGGTGTGAGCTCGCTTACCTAGGAGGTTTCGGTCTCGATCACCAGATTCTCCAGTGTGGTTTTGCATTGTCAGTGATGCAAAACGGACGACCAGGCAAGGGATGGCAGAAAAGTCGATGCCCGGGCATAAAAGTAGGATGTCAAAAACCATTCCATTTCATTCATTTTTAAACCAACGTGTATTAATGCTTACGTTTCCAAACTCACATATTTAACTAATAACATGAGCTAGAGCCCAAGTGAGCTGAATCGCCCATAGCCATAGAAATGAAATGGAGTTTAAAGTCCTACTGCTCTGCTCCGAACTGGGCTAATAAAGACGGGCATACGCCATACAGGGTGCTATGAGGGAAATTTTGCCCGGACAGCGGCACTACGGCCTAATCTTATATCGAATTCCAACAGTCAAGGGATCTTTTACAGGCACGCCAATGTGTACACGGGATTGGCTTTTCGTACCATCCGAACGACTAGACAGCTGTTCTTGTCAGGCCCTCCGTCCTGCATCACTGAAAAGGGGGAATCACGTTGGAAATTCTGGATGAACTTTTTCGGCCAATGCAGGAATTGAACACCCGATCTCCAGGCTAGCGAGCCAGCGGTGAGTTGGGTTAGGCTATCAATATTTTAATAATTTCAATTAGAAAATGTCTACATGTTCCATATCGTTCAAGTTAAAATTCCAAAGGCTATAGGTAATTCATTTGAACAAAGCAGAAGCACCAGATTCTACTAAAATGTATGAAGCCGAACTAACACTACCCAATTAAGTAGCTTGCCGATTGACTGGTTGAAATTCCTCACAGAGTGGTGAGGAAAAGTCTCTACGACCTGCTTGAAAAGGTAGAAATGTGCATATTTCCCCCACAAAGAAGTGAATAAAGGTATAGAAATACGGTTTATCGTCAAACAAATTAAAATTGGTTCATTTCGAGACTAACATGTGGTATATTTTATTTCAATAATTCACACGCAGGAGTCTTTAGCAGTGGACGACAATCAGAAAAACCCAACGAGGTTAGGCATACGACTCGTACTTCTCATCAAATGAAAGCATCTCATCGAAACCAAAACATGCCATACATTATAATTTAAAGTGCATGGGTTAGACCACTCTACCACCGAAACTTAAAATCATACCCAAATCGCCCAAAATAGGCAACACATATGAACGTTGCCGAAAGAAATCAAGAAGAACCCACAGCTACTAAAGTTACTAATTATGACATTGTCATATATTGTATCCCGGTGATAATATAAATAAACACACCTTGTCTGTGCCCACACCCAGTCCCGCTATAGCGGCGTTTAAGGCAGTGATAAACCCAGCCATATCAGCTCCTGCTACATTTTTATTTATCTGAAATATACAATAAAAAAGAATTACGTCCTAGTAGTTTCCAGGTTGCTTAAAAATTACGGGCGTGGGTAGGTGGCCGAATAGTTAACGCGTGGTTTCGTTCGATTCCCCGCTTCCACTGACAAGGAGTCGGGTCGCCTGTTCAGCCTCGTGGGTTTTCTCTGGGTGGTCCGGTTTCCTCCACTGCTGAAGAACCCTGCGCGCTAGCGAATTATTGAATGACGTAGTTTGTGTCGAGTGGACGTTAAACACCATTTCTCTCTCATACGATTTACGGTTACACAATGCAAAAACAAAGCAAATTATTAAAATACATGTCTATAATTCTGTAACAAGAAAGCAGTGGGACGTTAAACCCCATTTCATTTCATTTTATTTGTAACAAGAAAGATAAAGATGCATTATGTAAGATTTAGATAAAGAACTGGCCGTTCTTGCTATCATATACTTGAAAAATGAATATATAGAAAATTTCCTTAATGTTAATCTATTATAAGCCAAGTTATGACTATTTGTAGGGTTAGCGTAGATTGTTTATTATCGTAGCTAAGTCTTGATTATCCATTTTATCGTTAACATTTTAAATCTCGCTGGTGTTCAAAATCTATTTAAATCACGGCCATTCGATAGTCTAACGAGTTGATTTTAGGCCGTCCATACATAGTTTGTTTAAAGTCAATAAAGACCCGTAATACGCAGATGTAGCTCATACATAATGCATCTTTAATGAACATCATTTAAATCAAATTATATAATACATCTAAACAGTTTACAGAAGTAGGCTACAGACTTTCATTCAACAGGAAATGACGATTTGTATGTTATATATAATTGTGTCTGATCATTGATCCGAAGTTCATTGGTTCGACGCTGGACGGTCCCACGCCCGTAAGTCCCAGGTCTATTCGCCGGCTTATGAAGTATTTACACGATTTCCGAATAATCACCTTAAATATTTTAATATTTAAAACTATTGTAATCACGCTTTTAGACGAATATATAATGTAATAGACAACGTGAATTTGCCCCCCCCCCTCCGAATAAAAACCCAAACAAAAATAAAAACAAACAAACAAATAAACCCATCTAAGAATAAAATGTCCCACGAACACTCACCAGGGATCAGAATACCGTGTGTATTACCCTGGTAGTATCCCGCTTCGAAATCTGTTACAATTATAATAAGTCGACAGCTGTAGTATAATATATCGGCTGTATATAAAAACTGAGGTTAACGTAATTTACCCGAGGCTGTTCGGTGATCTGGCTACAGGCTCTAGTGGGTATCGTGCCGCAGACAGGGTATAGTTACCATTTCGCCTTCATTCGATTTAGAAGGACCTTTTTAAACAAGTTTATTTGGTCTGAAACTTGGTTGCACGTACTTACATAATATTGCCCCTACACCCGCCCAGTAATTTCCGCTGTGTAAATAATCCTTACCTCCGCATTATAGGTATCAAAATCCATGGCAGTAATGGACGCATTAAAGTCATTCAGGGTAGTTGTTAATGCAGCCGGAGTTAGATCGAAAGTACTAAAGTCAACAGCAATATTGTCTATTTCTTCTTGAATCTTTAATGTCTGAAATATGTAAATTCTGCGTGAGTTAACGATAGATATTGTAAGACACCACTTAACCGAATGACATACCTTACAACACTTGGACACCTATTTTACTTACATTAGTTATTTCATAAATTGTTTCAATGGCATTTAGTAATTGCTTGATAATGACTAGAGAAGCCTAGTCAAAACGTCGCTCAGTTATAAGTTGTGTATACTTGTATTCCATAGAATTGTGACCTGTATAGTTATTTTATCACATTGTATTTGATGCATTATGTACGATTTAGACACAGTCTTGGTCGTTCTTGCTATAATAGTTCAAAAATAGTTAATGAAAAATGAATATATTGAAAGTTTCAGTCACATTACTTTATTCTGATCGACGTTATGACTGTTTGAAGATGTAACACAGATCGTTATTATAGTAGCCAGGGTATTTGACAATAAGGGCTTTAGACTCGATTATTTAGCCATCCACGGGTCTAGAAAGTTGGTTATCTTGTCATGTGATTAAATGTTAAAATAATAATTTATGTAAGATTTGAAGCCCTCTAAACATAATATTGTTAGCGCTTTCTATAAATCTTATAACATTTCCAAACGCAAAATTAAATTTACCATTATTTAATCAAATGTTCCCTCGGTTCGTTCTAAACATTGTCCCAAAGACTAAAATCGGGCAAAAGTCAGACTGTGCTTATTATAACCGAGATGGATGCTTACTTACATCTTTATAATTCGTTATCGCTGAAAGGTCAAATGCCGATAGTTGATCAAGTTTGAAGGCATCATAAACTGATTTTCCAGCACCGCAATCCCTGAAATTATCAAAAGTAATAAACTACGAACATGAAATACCCACTTTTACTTTGGTAAGCTCTCAAAAAGGAAATAAGAAACATTTTTTAAATGCCAAAAACTCCGAACAATGTCTCTGAATATACACGATGATACAACCCCACTTCTTTTGATGTAAAGTTCTTTTGCAAGGAACCGCGTATGATCGGTTGGATTGGTCAACAAAAAACGAGGTTGAGAGTTCAGAACGCATGTTAGTTGAAATTCTCCATGTAAACTAACAACCTTGATGAATATTATTAATACGTACCTGTAAACATCACCTATTGTGATGTTTATACCTTTACCAAACACACTTTCTAAAGGATTACCAACACCAAATGCGTCTAACAGCTGTCAATTAACAAGAGGAAAACATATAATCAACTGTCTAGCCTTTCGTTTTATTGTTTTAGAAACTTCTAGCTGAAGTTACTTCCCTTGGTTACCAGTGGTTGCAAGTCAAGATATGCTCACATTTTGCAAGAGATGGATAGACAACCAACTAATAAAAGCGATTTTACGTAAAATCCAGAACGTTACGATCCGATACGCGCAAGTATCGAAAGGAGCCCAGGTCTTTGGGATACAAATTGGTCAACAACCTATTTTGCTTGCGGGGAGCGGCCATTTTGTTGGGCAGTTTCGGTTCGTTTTTCACGAAATGCGAACTCAACCGTCATGGTGTAACATTGATAAATTTAAACGTTTCATTAAATCGGATAAAAAAAATTGTGACCTTTAGGGGTTCCACAAGCTAAAAACGCGATTTTTTGTACAATCGGGGGCGGGGCATAATCCAGGAAGTACGGTTTGATATTCGTGATATGAACTAGGAATTGAAATAAAATGAAATGGGGTTTAACCCTCGAAGGCCCAAGTTACTTATCGTACCAATCTACACCAGCCTGGTTGATAATGACATCGATACACGCTATCGAGACAATTTGCTCCGGTAGCCACATTACCTGCACGTCATCTCATACAATGGTATACACGGGGACTCATTGTTTTGTCTCATCCGATCTCCAGACAAGGGTAAACTAAGCTGTAAAATCCCGTGGAACTTACTAATTATATACTCTGCCCTAGCTTTCCATATATAGGGTCTTGGGAGACAGCGAGTTTAGCTATAGCTTCAAGGGATATACATACTTCTGATACATTTCTCAACAAAGAGTGTATTTAACCTTACCGATAAGATCTTCTCGGGTTGAGTCAGTGGTTCACAGGCAAATTTTTCCATCGGTGCTCCTAGCGTAAACGAGAGTGTCGTAATAAACATCAACAGAGACGAAAATATAAAGATAAACCCAACAGATCTAAAAATAAATAAATATATGAAGCGATTAATGATCGGCATTTACGTTAAATGAATCATGGTCGACGACATATATTAAAAAAACATTATTTTGGTTTTCAAATTTCTGCCGCAGATGAAATATTCAGATGTTATTTGATGCTGTATTGCCTGTAATATCACTACTGTGAAAGCATGGCGTTAAACCACCAGTTACAGTGCTTAATGCAATCACGTCCAAATTTCGTATCCACCATATTTGATTTTAATGTATCGCTATGAATAGTTAATGAAAGCGTTCATAGCCGTTAAAATGGGGGCGGTACAAGAAATTGAATAACCAATTTTAATGTCACATGATACTGACGCTCTTCAATATGATTGGTCCAATTATTTACAGGTTTATTTAGTGTTTGTTGTTTAGCAGAACGGCTGTTTTTAAGTTTTATCGCCCCACATTGTTACGAAAAACAGCAGCTACACAATTTTGTTTTCTGTGTATTGTTTATTGCATTGGCCAAGAAAGTTTATAGGGATTTCTGTGTGGTTTCACCATGTCAGTGGTGCAAGGGACAACGTATACTCTTTCGGATGGGACGAAAAATCGAGGTACACATTGGCGTGCACGTAAGAGGGCCATTGTCAGTTGAAATTGGAATTCGATATAAGAGTAGGCGATAGTGTCGCTGTCCTGGGAAAATGTCCCTCCTAGCACACTGTATGGAGCAGGACAGTGGACGTTACAGCCAATTTCATTTCATTTCCATCTTATTTATGAATCAATGTACACCTGGATTATTGACACCTACGCCATAAGCATATTCCCTCCACAAGTCGACAAACGGCCCCGTTCTGTTGGCAGCGTGCTGGCGCTACTTCCACAGAAACCAAACGCTAATCCAAGTAATTGTAAAACAACAACCAAAGCTATGATACTTCCGATTCCGATACCAGCATACCACCTAGAAATAAAAAACAAAACAAAAGGGTAGACCATTTAAAATTTACAAACCCAGTTCATAACGTGTGTAAATCTCGGGGCTTTTGAATCTATCCATACGTGCCCATAAAGAGAGCCTAATCAACAGCGGCCATTTTTCCTTCTTCTTCTTTTTCTTCTTCCGGGTGACGTAGCCACGGTGGCTAAATGGGTAAGACGCTGGTTCGCTAGCCTGGAGGTCGGGGGTTCGATCCCTACATTGGCCGAGAAACTTCATCGGGATTTTCCGACGTGGTTTACCCTTGTCAGTGGGGTAGGACGGGGGGGGGGGGGGTCTGACAAGGACACCTGTCAAGTTGCTCGGATGGTTCGAAAAACCGAGGTCCCGTGTATACATTGGCATGCACGTTAAAGATCCCTTGGCAGTTGGAATTCGATTTAAAAATAGGCCACAGTGCCGCTGCCCGGGAAAAATTTGCCTCATAGCACACTGTATGGCGTCTTCATTAGCCCAGTCGAAGCAGAACAGTAAGACGTTAAAACCCATTTCATTTCATTTCATAGGGGCGACGCTCTTCGAAAAAAGTCCAAGACTCCGGCAATTCAAGTACGATCGACATGAACCTTGGCAAATTGAATTCTGATATGACGTTAGAATTCAAAGATGGCCGCGATTACGTCATGATAGGTGCATTGTTCTGCATTGTCCATAGTACGATCGTGTGTGCGTTAAACACTGAAAGGCTTCAGAGGGCTTCTTGAACACATTGTCTTTAATTATATGTTTATTTAAGAGAAACGGATTACTTGTATCGCTCATAAGTCGCCATCTGTTCACTGTAGTCAGTTACCGTAGTTTTGTATTGTGATAAATCCAGACTTCCAGCCGACTACAAAAAACCCATCAAAATATAAGTAGTTTAATATACAAAGTAATACAAAATACAAGTCCCGTCTACCTTTTAAAGAACCCTTGACAGACAGATTACAAGAAGAGTAGGTCGAGATACCGCTGTCCGGGGAAATTTCGTCTCAACGTACACTGCACAGAGTGTGTCCATCGTCATTAGCCTAGTTGAGTCAGAAAGGTAGGACGTAAAACCCCATTTCATTAAAAACATACAAGCAGTTTAATATATAAATGTAAAGCAATACTTTGTCCGCAAATAAGAACAGATGTGCCATAAAGAATGACATACTCCACCTTAGGGTACGACACCTGTCACAACTTATCGCTAAATGCAATGGCTTTTTATTTCCACAAATAAGAACAGATATGCCATAAACTCCACCTTAGGGTACGACACCTGTCACAACTTATCGCTAAATGCAATGGCTTTTTATTTCGATTTTGGCCAGTCTGTGTTCCCTCTGTAAGTGATGCATGGCGGCGGGCCTGGCAAATAGCGCCATTATAATCATTGGTATGGAAGGAAAACCGGGGGTCCCATGTCGTGTACTCATTGGCGTGCCAGTAAAAGAACCATTCAGTTGGACATAGAATTGTAGACCGTAGCCCCACTGTACAGGCAAAATGTCCATCATACCAAAATGTATGACATAAGACCGTCTCTATTATTCCGGTTAAAGCATAAAAGTAGGACGGTAAACTGCTTTTCGTTTCATTTCGTTTAGACTGAGAAATAAGGATAGTCGTTACAAAGCAGAAAACTTACGTCACTCTGGAATTTTTCGATCTCTGCTATTATTGGTGCTATCTCTGATTGGAAAGAAACAAGATTGTTTTTGACCACTGGAAAGATAGAAACGCACAAACATTATTCGTAATAATAAACGGTCAAAGCCTCATTGAGTCAATTTAGCGCAATATGAATTCCTTGGGAACTACAATATTGGGAAAGACGTGTCCCTAAAAGGGATACCATTAGAAATAATTCAACCCGTTCAGTATTTGCAAAGATATGTTGAATTGAAATTTCGCAGATCGATGCTGCTTCTTAAAGTAATAAGAGCCGCCATTTTTTTTACAAACATAATTCATGATCCTGTTTGAAATCCAATTGAATCTAAGCCGGGGTATTATCTAGCGTTTGTATTTTAGATTAAACATACATTATGCAAGCGCTAAATCTGTCTATTGCAGGTCTTTCTTTAGGCCTGGAATGTTTTCTAAATTATTAATTAGACATTATTAAATCAACAGTCGAAGGCATCGGATTTCTCCCATATTGAATAGATTATAACAGTTCAGCCATACTATGATTTAAGCTAAAAATGGAGGAGCGAGACTTAGCTTCGAACAACCAGTACGGTGGTTGAAATTATTACACACGTCTTGTCAAACCTTCATAGGCTAATATCTTCGCTAGCAATAGAGTAATTTGAATGAAATTTTAAAATTATTCATTTTACATTATGTATTTTCGAACTATTATAGCAAGAATGGCTAGCTCTTTATCTAAATCTTACATAATGTATCTTTAAATCGTGAGAAATTTGATATTTTAGCGAAAAATACAAATGACGCATCTTTACTTTAAGCGAACGACAACCGAATAAGATTAAAATTCTACCTGCAACAACACCTGCATCTGTTATTCCTGTATCAACTTTCCCAACGATTCCGTCAAATTCAGTTCTTGCCTGGAAAATATATCTAAGATCAAAATTGTCACTTAAAATGGAAAGAATGAGAAATTGGGTTTAACTTACCTCCATACAAACTGTGTCATTTCGGGACTAACATATGGTACAGCTTTATTTCAATAATTCGCTTTTACTAGGGATCTCCGCAGTGCGAGGAAACTATAGGATCTTGAGAAAACCCACGAGGTTCGACAGGCGACCCTACTCCTTGTGGTCGAAACTACACAACGCCATGACAGACCTTATAATCGGCAGTACACGCGTTAGACCACTCGGCCATCCAAACCCGCTATCCAGTAAGCGTTGATCCAAGTGTCCACCCACTTTAACCCGCGGAACTAAAAGGAGAAAGCGTAGCAGCAAAAAGAAATCTAAAGTACTTGTGATGGGAGCGTATGTATAGTCATATTATTTCCAAGTGTTTGCTCACGTAAACACCCTCAACTAAAAGGAGAAAGCGTATCATCTAAAGTTCTTGGAATGGGAGGGCCTACAGCTCCATAAATTATCTCAATTTATGTAAGCACACGTATCTAAAAGGAGAAAGCGTATCAGCTGAAAGAAATCTAAAGTACTCGGAATGGGAGCGTCTACAGCTCCATAAATTACCCCCATGTGTACATTCTCGTAACTAAAAGAAGAAAGTGTATAAACTTTAAAAAATCTAAAGTACTTGGGACGGGAGCGTACAGCTCCGTATAGCCTTATTACATCTATGCGTCCATCTACCAAAACACCGCAAATAAAAGAAGAAAGTCAACTAAAAGAAATCTAGAGTACTACAGCCTGATTACTACCTTTCCGTAAAACCCGGTGTTATAGGTCATTGCTTTTAGTGTCGAGATTAGAAATCTCAATGATCATGTGATGTACATACTAATTTCGAAGACAAATCGAAAGAAAATTATGAATGTGTTTATGAGGTGTGAATTACGTCAAACCTGGTCTTTAGAAAATAAATCAAATATTGCTTAATCCTTTAAAGTATAATGACGAACGGTATAGTTTTATAAATTTATACTCACCGCTTGTACATCGGCAGTTAAGTCTTCGTCTTTAATTTTGTCAACTTCTGTTCTTATAGGAGCTGTGTTAATCTAAAAAAAAACCAAGATACTATGATATATAAAGAGATACAAGATACCATGATATTACACGGAAATACAATTAAAGATACATGATATCAAACAAGATACCACGAAATCACACAAGATATCATGATATTACACGGAAATACAATTAAAGATACATGATATCAAACAAGATACCACGAAATCACACAAGATATCATGATATTACACGGAAATACAATTAAAGATACATGATATCAAACAAGATACCACGAAATCACATAAGATACCATGATATCACGCAGAAATACAAAATACCGGGTTATCACACAGAAATACAAAATGTTATGATATCTCACAGAAATACAAGACACCGTGATAATATACATAAAAGATATACCATGATATCATACAGAAATACAAGACACCGTGATAATATACATAAAAGATATACAATGATATCATACAGAAATATAAGACACCGTGATAATATACATAAAAGATATACCATGATATCATACAGAAATACAAGACACCGTGATAATATACATAAAAGATATACCATGATATCATACAGAAATGGGGTACATAATGTAACACGAAAAATGTAACAGGTATTGTGTTTCTTGTGCCATTTTGGGGATTGGGCTGATATCAACATTGACATTTTTGGTTTTTCAAAAGGTCAAGATTCATCTTCGTACTTAGGCCAAAAATAATTTTAAAATTTCTATATTTAGTAAAACATTTACCTTGGTTGTGTCAATTGTAGGTGTTAGACCAGATTCAACCGGGAAGCTGGTACAGCTGCCACACGCAGTCCTGGTAGATTCGTAACTACTTATCCAAGAATTTATTTCACCTTCAAAACTTGAAAAAGTCGAGTTGAAGGCTTTCACGTCTGTTTCAACTGTATCAAACTGAGTTACGACATTTGTGCGATCTGTAACATAACAGTAGTAACATAACTAGCATTAAACATACATTATGCAAGAGCTAAATCTGTCTATTGCAGGTCTTTCTTTGGGCCTGAAATGTTATCTAAATTATTAATTAGACATTAATTAACCTATCCAGACCATAATCAACTCTAGATGGCATCTTTAGTGGATTATGAGCCGATTTGCTGCATAATTTTCCTTCACGATTTAACGATTAAATGGATAATCGAAACTATGATGTTTATCGTACTGACTTTAGTAATGATGGTCGAGGCTAGGCGGAAATTTCAATCGCTTAGTTCTCGGTTCATAGTGGATCAATTTGAATGAAATTTTCAGCAAAGTGCCTTTACATTATCTAGTTTTTAACTATTATAGTGAGAATTGCCAACTCGTTATCGAATCTCCCATAATGTATCTTTCACGTAAAATAACATTGATATAACATTAACATTATTGGATCTTTCAAATGATAATATAAACATTCACCTGTTTGTAGATTGTCCACTTGAGTGAATAGATTATTCACATTTAATTGCTGGTCAAATCTATCTCTTACAGGAACGCTGACCAGTACACCAGTATCTGCAAGAATACAATCATCCATTAGATATACAGATTATACAGATTTTGTTTACTGTCTCTAAATAATCCATGATTGACGAGCCATCGGGATATTCCGGCAAAATTTTCCTCATATTATGTTACATGGCGTATGTCCGTCTTCATTTGCCTGCACTCGGCAAACCTCAGCAGGCTCCGGTACCCTACATCTAGCCTCGGCTGTATGGAAAATTCCGTCATTAGAACTACTTTTAAGTTCCCGGATGACAAATAACGGCGCCCAAAAAGACGCATGTCAATGTCTGGAGCTGTTTTCCTTTCAAGTTTATCCGATTTTCTTTAAACAAAGTAGAATTTTGTCGTGGACACTCTACACACTCTTCGAACAATGTCATTTTTAGAACTTCTTTCTAAAAAGCGGAAGTTTTTCTGATAAGTAAACCGATAGCCGCATCGCAATTGTAAGTACATATCACTTACTATCATACATCCGAGGTTAGATGTATGATATAGGAATCTACCGAGGTTTGCCGAGTGTATTTGCCTGGTTTATGCAGAAACGTAAGACGATAACCTTCATTTCATTTTAGGTGCCACTGCGTCTCACTTAGAGTCGGTCGTTGTTTTGGCAGACCAAGTTCCACGTGGTTTCCCATTGTCAGTGGTACAGGTAGAAGGGTCAGTGTCTAGTCGTACGAATGGTACGAAAAACCTAGGTCTTGTGTCAAGCTGGTATGTACATAAAAGAACCATTGGTGGTAGGAATTCGATAAAGGGTAGGCCAAAACGCCGCGATCCTAGCAATATTTCACCAAAACCACACTTCATAGCATATGTGCTTCTTCAATATCCCCGTTGGTGCAGAAAACTAGGACGTTAAACCCTATATGATTTTATTTAAAATATTAATATAATGTACTTACTATCTAAATCTCTTTTAACAACATCTAGTGCAAAATTTACATCCGTAGACAAAATGCGTTTGATTTGCTGAAAAATATACAAACAAAACATCCCCGAAAAAATTCTCGATAAAATGCTAAAATATTTCGAAATTAAATCGTTTCTACGCGTTTTAAAAACCTTTAATTGAATAAATGTTAGAATAAGTGCTAATAAATTCTTTAAAAACATGTACCGGCGAACTATGAACCTGAAACTGAGTATGACGTCATCACAGCCATATTGCAAGTGTCATATCAAATATCCAAGTTCGTCAGTCGATGCGCAATTGTCGAAGGAACAATAATACCAAGTATCATGTCAACAGTATATAAACTGGCAGGGCTTTATAGGCTTTCTTCGAAGAGTCTCGCCGCCAAGAACAACAAAAACAAGAACAACAGGATATGTAGTGGACCCTAGTCCAAAAATGACCACATTCAACCAATTAAACTTATTTTTCATTTTTTTATCTAGCTTTTTACACCATCTTCCCTTTGGAATAAACAGAAGATTGGGCGGCAAGGTATTGCAAAATGTGACCGACGAGGAACGATATGTTATCAATATGCATATTATACTACATGTCATATCTAGATTTTAAATGATTTCACGAAAAAAAATAAAAAAATAATGAAACTTTCACAAATGAGCGTGATACAATCACAAAGCCTATTACACATGTTAAAGTAATAAAATAATATATCAATGCATGCTAATTCGCAATGTACATATGGCATGAAAGTTTTTTTTTTACTCAGATGAGGGGCTTTTTTTTTTTTTTGCTTCTTTACGTTTTTAACAAGGGATATAAAATAATGTCTATAATCAATCTTACTCTTACATCAATGTATTGGAACTCTTACTTTGATCAATTTACTGGACAACATTACTTACATCAATGTACTAGACACAGCTACGTAAATCAATGTACTGGACAACCTTACTTACATCAATGTACTGTACAATCATACTTACATCAACGGTGTTATCGAGATACACACTGATGTCATCCACATTATTACCAAATGTATCATCATATGTATTTAGAGCTGTTGACATCTGGTCATTAGTCACATAAACACACGCACATCCAACTCTGTCAAATATAAAACAGTCGACGCAAAAACAAATAATTGATAAATAAATTTATTTGTCTACGCCAAAGTGTACACGGGTGAACCCAACTTTTTGTACAATCGAACGAGCAGAGACCTTCCTTGCCAGGTCATCCGCCCTGCACCAATGACAGCATGTTCCTGAAACAACGACTGCGAGTTTCACAACATCTGGTCGTTGCTTGTTTACTTCACAATTTCGAACTTATAGCTATGTTATCTACAGACACGTGAGCAGTAGCGTCCAATCAGAGGTAGTGACATCGCGACCTCCACGGAAACCTTGACATTGAATGAACCTTGAACTTTGCAACTCGATTATCACAGGTAGACATTTTAGCTTGAAAGCCATAGACTTGGTATTCGCGACGATCGAGGAATCTGATAGGCTCCAACCCATTGCTCCAGTTATCTACAATTAATGTCCTACTTTCACTTTCTAAAACAACTGCTGTCAGGTCACATTTGAGGCGTTCACCTAGCTAACAAACTTTCGAAGTGCTCTTATGTTTCTTGGTTGTGAGGTGGACCTGTTTGAGGTATATGTTTGGGAGAGATGTTTTTTTCGTGTCAGTGTTTCATCTTACCATGTTAAAATTATTAATTATTATTCTTCAAATGCGTGTTTTTATGAGAAATTAAAGTTAATATATTCTTTAAGCGTTTGAGACTTATGCCGTAAAAACAATGAGAACCAATAAAATGACGCTGTCAATTACCTACGTTTAATGTCCTACTTTCACTTTCCAGAACAACTTGAGGCATTCAGCTAGCTAACAAACTTTCACTGTGCTATTATGTTTTTTGGTTGTGAGTTGGACCTGCTTGAGGTATATGCTTGGGAGGGATGTTTTTTCGTGTCGATGTTTCATCTTACCATGTTAAAATTATTAATTATTATTCTTCAAATGCGTGTTTTTATGAGAAATTAAAGCTAATATTTACTTTAAGCGTTTGAGACTTACGCCGTAAAAACAATGAGAACCAATAAAATGACGCTGTAAACAATACGTCTGCATGATGTCGATGGAGACTGCGTTTGCATCATCTTCCCACCACACTGTCCGCAGCATCGAAAGCAGCAAAAGCAACAACCAATTATTGGAAAGATGATCATAAACAAGATACCAATCACCAAGCATATTGCAAAACCAATAAAATGCAGAGCCACCTGAAACAGTTAAACAAATCAGCTTTATTGGAGGATTAGGATAGTCTAGTGGTCTAGAGTGTTGCGCTTCGAGCTCTACCTGGTAATGGTCCTGGTTTCGACCATTGTGTTAGCGTATGTAGCTTGGAGATAGGGGCGCTCTCTCATCCCCAAGGATTTACACCCGTTACTCCGGTTTCGTCTCTCTCACTGCTCATTTCGGTAGAAGCGGAGTCTAAACCCTACCGACAGCAACACACTTTAGTACAAATTAAACAGTTGGTTGAAGATCTAGTGCAAGCGGAAAACAGACTATGATGTAATTAGTCAAGGGTTGAGTTGCAATGATCAGTTTATGAATCCTGGATTTTCTTAAATTTAAAATATTAAATGCTAAATATCAAGGACACAGCCAGCATTTTCTGGCGGGGCTTGTTATGGAGGGGTTTGGAGAAGAGGCTGCTTTGGTATAAAATTGGAGAGGGGGGGGGGGTGCTCCCCGATGAAAAATTTGTTTTCATTGAGTATTATGCATTTTCTCAAATAAAAAATCTCATCACGGTAATACCATTCCAAATATGAAGTTTCGGCGATAGGAATTTAAAGGGAGAGAGAGAGAGAAATGGGTTTTAACGTCCACTCGACACAAACTAGGTCATTTCGGACTAACATATGGTTTAATTTTATTTCAATAATTCGCTTGCGCGTAGGGGTCTTTAGCAGTGGGAGAAAACCGGAGGACTCGGAGAAAACCCACGAGGTTGAACAGGCGACCCTACTCCTTGTCACGTACAACCGGGGATTCGAAACCACGCCAGTCGACTCAATGACAGACTTTATGATACAGCGCGCGCACGCTAACGATTCAGCCATCCAACCCCCCGGAATTTAAAGGAGCCAAGTCTCTAACTCAATATTCTATATAATATTCGATATGAAAGACATGTATTAGAACGAAATATTGGTCCCTGTCAATCCATATTGATGTTGTTATGTTGCCATGAAAATGTGGGATCCTAATATCTAATATTTAAGACACAATGAACATTTTAAAATCCGTAGAGGAGTCGTGTACCCTATCGTTTTGGGAGCAAAGGGAATGAACAATGAACAACATTATTCTAAATTACAATGTGTCAGTAAATAGTAATGGCTGTTTTACAAATGATAAAAAAAAATGATAATAAAAAAACTGCAAAGAATGGGTGAATAGGCATAAACGATTGTGTTCAGTTAGAAATTACAATGAAATTACAAAATCCATGAAATACGAAACTAAAACCTACCGACTGAGGATCGTCGAGGGGGTTTTCCTTCTTTACTATTCCAATAATAAAATCTGTGAAGTACAAAAAATATAAGTGAGAAATAATGTAGGCCTATACAAATCTGCAGCATGGTAGGTAGATGCCCACATCAATTCGTCCAAGGTGCACCAGATTCTGCTTAATATAAAGGTGATCGTACAATGCTGCAGACTGCGCTACATTAAAAGAAAACCTATAGGGTGCCGGAAATAACGGTGGTAGAGATTGGGGTTCGGTGAGTAATTAGGATAATTGTTCTACGACAAACTGCGTTACATTAAAAAAAAAAACCTGTAGGAGACCGGAGGCAACGATGGAGTTCGATCAGTGATCACGGATATAAAATCACCAACAACACCACATTCGACAAAAAAATCGACAGTAAATCCCACCATTCCATACTGTGAGAACTGTGCGTTTGACGAAAGAAATAATGATTTTTAATGAGCCTATACAATGCTAAAATACCTATCACACTGAACTGTTATCAATACCTTTTTAACTAACCCTAAATTAAATCAAATTTCTAATATAATCAAGAGCACCCTATTATTAAAAAAATATGCATGAACAATGGACTGACTTGTATAAAACATGTAGTATGATTATGACTGTTGAATTATGGGATGTTTTGTAAGTTGCTGTAAAAAGCCTTCACACGGAAGACCATTAGTGCGTAAGATCATTAGTAGGGAAGACCATTTTTGGGTAAATCAAATTCTGATTATCTTCTGATTACGAGTTAACTATCTCGTAATTACGAGTTAATAGAGACCTTCATTGTAGGTACGAAAACGTCATCGGTTCATGTGTACTTGTGACAACATCCTATGAAACTGGATTCACGCTGGCGTGTATACGAATCTGTTACTCGTGACATATATTAAAAGTACGTATGTGCAGTGTTCATTGTGGAACATGTGCTGAAATGCAAAATACTGTTTGTTTGTTTTGCATGTGCCAAAAAATAGATTTAAAACTTTCCGTTGACAAGTTGAAAGTTTAACTTGAATAATTCTTAGTTGTTTAAAAATATCTAATAATCTTAATACTCAGTATGTATTGTCCAATAATTGGTAAAAGTTGTAATATGTTCGATTATCTGAATAGAAATAAAGCATAATTTTAGATATGATTATAGATCGGATTGCAAAACCGATGTGAACGAAAATGGAGACGTGAACGAAAACGGAAACGAGCATATTTTCCTTTTCATGTTGGTTTTCGTTTCGATTGTCATTATTATCTCGATATTACGATATAGTTAACTCGTAACTACATAAAATATACTGATCATATCGTAATGGTGAGTTAACTATATAATTCGACATTTCCAGATAATCAGAGTAATTTTATTTAATTCTGTTGACCCTAATCGACTTCCATACTACCACGTAAAAGATTTATTGGATTTAAAAGGATTTAAAAGGATTTCTGGTCTACATACCAGCATTCTTGTTGAAACTACCCAACACTGAACCAATAAAACTCCTAGCGAAATCATACATGGGTCCAAGTCCACTATCGTCGTAAGCAGCGTCTGTTTTGTAGTGTTTTCCGGATGGTACATCCGACCAAAATATATTACTGTTACTATCAGCCGTATTAGATTCAGTGTCCGTTAAAGTCGCGGGTGTTAAAACAGGATCAGGTGCCAAACATTGATCAAATAGAAGTAAAACTACTGCCAAACTAAATATCCTCATCCTGATTTTTGAGTATTTGAACCTTTTGTTAAATTCCTGAAAGAAAAGCAAATTACAGTAAAACCAAAGCATAATAAAACCGCTGATTGTCATTTGATCAGTATCTCCGCAAAGATGTTGATAATTTAACATTTAATTAAGAAAGTCAATATATCAAGAGTAGATAATCTCCTGGCATCGATTCAATCGGATTAGAAAGAGGATTATCAGAGGATTTTAGCCTGGCCAACACGTATAGGTGGCGATGGCTTGATCATATTATTATTAAATTCACCACATCTTTGTAAATAATAACGGAAATGATCGATTTTTTGAACTTATAACATTTTTAGAGATTCAACGTTCATAATATTCCTAAAAACCACAGTTTGTCTTAGAATACATATACCTTTAGCTCAACGACAAATTGACAGATATGTCGCAAAATATTCACATATTCTAATCTGAACACCCCGATACGGCCAACGGACTAGTAATTGAGATGTCAATGTTTGAATAATATAACAACTTGTTTTTCAATGATTTGGTCCCTTAAAAAAAAAAAATATCAATATCCATCCATAAATGGTTCAAATCTGTTCAGTATATACAAGGATATGACCGATTAAAAAACTCCATCGATCTATGCTTCTCCTTATGTAATAAGACGGCCCACCATCTTGTTTTTTTGCGGCGAATGAAATTGATGGGCCTGTTTTAACCTGTTTGATGCTTTCTTAATTGAATATTAAAGATACATTATGTAAGAATAGATATAGAGCTGGTCCTTCTTGCTATGCTGATAATTACAGTCAAATTAATTGACCCTGATCCTCGTGATCGTCGTTAGAAGAACAGTGTAGCCTTGATTGTCATTGCTACCGTTTTTAAAATAATAAACAAAGTCTCGATTATCCCCTTTTACGGCAACCGCACCAACCGAACAACGTATTTAAATCTATTGAAAATCTAGACTATACGATGGCATCGAGGTTTGATTATGGTCTTGGTAAGTTAATTAATGTCTAAGGCCTAAAGAAAGGCAGATTTAGGTTTTGAATTATGTCTGATTAAATAATCAATGTGTGTGTGTATCTTAGCGTGGATTAAGCCATGCGAAATCTGATAATATCCAAAGAATGAAACTCACACATTGTGACTTAAACTAGGAATTAACATCTAGTAGATATATTATTTATTGTTCTATGATCCCTTCTGTAGTGTAGTTTACATATTCCAGAAAATCAAACATTGAGGATAAAATTCATATTCAAACAAAAGAGAAACAAGAATTGACAATCGGGGAAAATCTTTTTTTTTCTTGCATTCTATAATCCCTTTATTCCAGAAAATATAACATTCCGGATACAAACCATAATTTTAAAAAAAATCAAACATTGTCTAAGGGTCTTAAAAGTAACAAAACATATCCAATCTGACCACACACCACTCACCTACGAATCGATATAAAGAATTTCAAGTTAGGTTTAAGTTGCGGCTTAATATTATGATATTAGGAAGAGAATTATTTTTTTTTCAATTAACTAATTCCAGATTGTCATTTTCTCTGCGATTCTTGAACTACACTATAATCCGAACATTTAATCTTGATATACTTATATATCAGCTAGCCTGGAGGTCGGGTGTTCGATCCCTGCATTGGCCGAGAAAGTTCATCCAGATTTTCCGGCGTGGTTCCCCCTTGTCAGTGATGCAGGACGGAGGGCCTGACAAGGACAGCTGTCTAGTCTTTCGGACGAGACGAAAAACCGAGGTCCCGTATATACATTGGAATGCACGTAAAAGATCCCTTGGCAGTTGGAATTCGATATAAGAGTAGGCGATAGTGCCGCTGTCCGGGCAAAATTTCCCTCATAGCACACTGTATGGCGTATGCCCGTCTTCATTAGCCCAGTTTAGGAGCAGAACAGTAGGACGTTAAACCCCATTTCATTTCATTTCACTTATATATGAACGAGATTTAAACTCTTACCTTTTACTTCTATATCAGTCACTAAATATAACTGTATGTATGTTAATGTTAAATATTCTACTATTGAACAGTTTGTTACTTACAATACTATATATTTATTTGAATTGGTACGTCACGTACAGGTATGCCGGTACAAGGTAAAGAAACGTACAATGCGTGTATGTCTTTTTACCATATACTCTCTACCTAGTATTATTCAAGTTGAAAACAAACTTACCTATACAATTTCACTATTATATACGTATGGACTGATCAAACCTCTTTATTCAATAAATATTAGTCAACAATTGCCAAGATACAGTAAAGTAACGCGTGACGTATTGTACCTGTGACAAGTTATTGTTCGGGATCATTAATTCATTTTTTACCAACCCAAAACGTAAATGACGACAATTGCATTAAAAATTTTGTATATATAATACTTAAGGAAATGTCATTCATTCAGTAGAAATGTAGCCATGAGTCATAAGCCATTAATAAACTGCAATATCGCACCATCCCAGGGCATCAAAGGAAGGGCGCGCGATACAATTTTTGTCCATTTCCGAGAAAGACCGTATGGATTTTCCAACCTAGTTTCCCCTTGCAGCAGGGAATGGATAAGAAAGGGGTCTAGTTGTTGGGGTGATGAAAAACCGAGTCCAAACATTGACAAAATTCGATAAATAGTAGGGCTAGGCAGAAACGCTGCCTGGGCAAAAATTCGCTAACACTTTAACTACACACTGCATGTCTAATGTCGGTCTTCATAAGCCAAATGTTCGATCCCGGCGTTGGTCGAGAAAGTGGGTCGAGCTTTTCCGGCGTTGTTTCCCTTTGCCAATGGTGCGGGACAGGGGCAGCTGTCTAGTCTTTCGGATGGTACGAAAAAACGAGGTCCGTGTACACATTGGCGTGCACATAACAGATCCCTTGGCAATTGGAATTCGATATAAGAGTAGGCCTTAGCTCCGCTGTCCGGGCAAAATTCCTCTCATAACACACTGTATGGCGTATGTCCGTCTTCATTAGCCTTGTCGGAGCAGAAAAGTAGGACGTTAAACCCCATTTAATTTCATTTCATACGCTAAATGGCTGCATAAACGTAAAACCTTAAACCCTAATTCATTTCACTTTACACTGTGTTGTAAATCTTTAAATCACCTAAGAACAAAATATATCCCTAAATTTTATTCACTTCACCCTACTGTTTATAAATTTAATGAATTAATGTCTACAAATAATGGAAATCTTCAAGTTAAATTATGTAAATATGTCTTCGAAGCCTTCAAATTTCGGAAATCATTACCCACCCTGTGAGCTGTTACTTCTATATAATCTCATGTTATGAATTTTTCTATTTTATGTGTTACCATTGCTGCACTGTGTTTAAAAGCTAAAAGTCAATGACTTACAGCTATGTGAATAAAAACTTGAAACTTGAAACTTGTATGGGGTGTAAAGATTTAACATTAATTTATTAATCGTGTTGTTACAAACCAAGTAAGTAGCAGGGTAAGTTATTCATGGTTTAATTTTAACAATCGAACATTCAAAAAGAATATCACGTTAAGCACATAAAATAACTCAATAACTGTCCTTATTATATAGAAATACAATGAGATAACTATGTGGGTTAATACAGGGTTACCCCATAAAACTCTCTCTTTTGTTGTAATGCTATAGTGACGATTTGTACACGGAAGCTCTTTACAAAGTCGGACGGTTTGGTTGCTAATAAATAAATCCGAAAAATTGTCTGCAATGCTTCTATATGAAATGTAGAAGGTGAATCGTTTGTTTAATCTCTTTATTTGGAAATAGAAATAATACGCGTAGTAGATTGTATCCCCTTTTGAAAAGTAGGAGGTCGTTCACTTTGGAAACCTTCGTGAATCGTATGAGGAATTTCTTTTTATGGAAATAGAAATAATTTCCATCTATCGGGATATAATCAACGTGCTGGTAATGTTTTTCTTTCCATTCTATCAGGACCTCAGTCCTACATCACTGACAAAGGAACATCAGGTTCGAAAATGAAACCTGACTCGAACCTCGTAGGTCCTGGTTAGTGAGCTTGTGCATTTTTAATGTGCCAAACAAAATTATATACAAAAATATCTTTCTTAATATCATGCAAAATACATCTCACAATACCTCACAACCACATATTTCCGTGATCCACAAAAATATAAAGTGTGGGAATATAGTTTCTAAAGTTGGCTGGATTATAGCAGAGTTATTACGTTATTTACGGCAATATGAATTCACTGTTGTAGCGTGACGTAGATGAAAATGTTTATTCTTTTGAATGTAGTCGTGGAACGAGAAGCCGGGAATAGGGGGTGGTTCCCAAACTAGGGCGCCATCCAAATCCCACCCCAAAATGAATGTCATCAAAATACGTAATAAAGTGCATAAAATAACACTAAGCGCCCTGGTAGAACATAGATAGTATTGCCTATATAGTTGTTCGCCGGCGCCGGAAAACAGTTTTATTATATGAATGTATGTAAACTGATTTACATTCAATCGCTTCTGTTTTTACTGTAATTTCTAAGTAGTTATGTTCTCAATCGAATGACAATCTCTAGCGTCTGGTTATTCCAGCCTACACCGATACGCATGCTCTGCACAGATACGAATATGACGTCACCGTTTGACATGACTTGTGGAGTATGTCTACCCTTATTATTCGAATCCCTTGTTACAAATGGCGCTGAAACGCATTATGGTACACGGTTCGTGTACCAATGGTAAAATGTTTATTTTGTCTTGAATATTGGATATCAGAAGCCCATCTTTTCCCTGTAAGATCACAACACCAATGTTGATTTAAATTGACAAATAAATCTCTTTTTTTTAATGTCGAAGACTTTGGATGATATTGAGTTAGAGACATAAAATGGAATGGGGTTTAACGTCCTACTGATCATTGAGTTAGAGACTTAGCTACTTTAAAGTTGACATAAAGTTCATGACATGTAATTGTTATTGATTTTGTCTAGGGGGTGGTGGATCCACCTGTTTGAATGACCCCAAACGACAATATTGTGAAGTGAGTTACAAATTCCCTTCATTGTATCAACTATTCGTGGACAACATCCAAGACAAATAAACAGGATATAATACAGTCAGATATTCCAATCAGTTTTTTTTAATGTAATCCCCACCCCGTCCTCCGCCGATAGTGGGGAAAGGTTTTCCATTGGCAGTGGTGCCAGACAGAGGCATGGACACGCGTCTAGTCGTGCGGAATGCGGAACGTTAAAGATCACATGGCAGTTGAAATCGAAATAAGAGTCCTGGCCACCCCCTCATCCCCCCTTCCATGGCACACTGCACGCTGCTCATTAGCCAGATGAGTGCTGAAAAGTAAGACGTTAAACCCAGTTCAATTTTATTTGCATGTCGAAATCACATTCCAGTTCATGTTGCTGGCCTGGAGCCAGCTACGAGAACGTAACTAAAAACGCTGAGATATACTGATGTGCTTGTTTTTAGCTACGATTGGATGCCTTTAGTTCCAAGTGGCAAACTCAATTTATTTATTAATGCATGTACCATCTTAAAAATAAGTTAATTTTATATTATTAGTACTTATTACACATACGCAATCCAATCTATTGAAACAACATTCATTTATCAGCAAATATTGACAATAAAATAAATCAAGCGTTGTTTTTATCAAAATTGATTCGGACGTTCATAATTACGGCGTATTACTACTGCGGAACCCTGATCAGATTAGTACTTTGATTGGCTATTGGGGGGTTGGGTGGCCGAATGGTTAGCACGGGCGTGCTGTATCATAAAGCCTGTCATTGAGTCAACTGGCGTGGTTTAGAATCCCCGGTTGTACGTGACAAGGAGTAGGGTCGCCTGTCCAACCTCGTGGGTTTTCTCCGGGTCCTCCGGTTTCCTCCCACTGCTAAAGACCCCTTCGCGCAAGCGAATTATTGAAATAAAATTAAACCATATGTTAGTCCCGAAATGACCTAGTTTGTGTCGAGTGGACGTTAAACCCCATTTCTCTCTCTCTGGTTGGCTATTGCACACGAGGCCCCGTTTTTGTGTTACAGACGTAAATTTAAAATGTCGGAAAAAGCAATCTACTGTCGCTTTGATTTAAAACGAGGGGATTTGTACCCGTTTCAGGTAGGATTATATGCTTAATTGTAGTTGGGTGTGGCCGAAATTTTATACATAACAATAATCAATCGTTGTTTTGATTAAAAATATTGTCAATTTTGTTTACAAATGCCGGGTGTGAATCGCTCTCGCATGTGCTGCGTTGAAGTTAATAGCACCATTTCTTATCTCGAAACACGGAGGGTTGAGAGATAAGGTTTGTTATGTAGCCTGGAGCACACATGTGTTTTGCCTATAGTTAGTGAAATTCAGATTTCAAGATATTAATATTCCTTATTAAAGTGACCTTGCTGAGTGTTAAATGATACAGAGAGAGAAATGGGGTTTAACGTCCACTCGACACAAACTAGGTCATTTCGGGACTAACATATGGTTTAATTTTAATTCAATAATTCGCTTGCGCGTAGGGGTCTTTAACAGTGGGAGGAAACCGGAGGACCAGGGGAAAACCCACGACGCTGGACAGGCGACCCTACTCCTTGTCACGTACAACCGGGGATTCGAAACCACGCCAGTTGACTCAATAACAGGTCTTGTGATACAGCACGTGCTAACCATTCGGCTATCCAACCCCCCCTAAATGATACAGTCCTTAATACTATAAAACTGTTCAAAGGGACAAATAACGTATATTGTCTTCTTAGATATTTGTATGACTTGTTCTATTATAAAATCAAATACAATCTTTCATTTACGACATTAAAAATGAAAGACAAACGCGTTGAGTTGTTGCAAGTGTCAGAATAGCTATATCACGATCGAGTATTGTTGTTCGGAAAATATCTATTGACAACAAGGGGCTATAATTCTATAATACACGCATGGCTTTTTACTTACTAAAAAATGAAATGAAATGAATTGGGGTTTAACTTTATGCTGTTCTACTTACTAAAAAGGAAGCTAGACTCAAAAGTATTATAATATAGCTACCGGATATACGCCATGCAGTGTGCTGAGGGAAATTTGACCTGGACAGCGGCTTACTTCCCACTTCTCATCAAATTCCCACTAATACATATTAAAGTTACAATTTCATATTTTCTAAGAAAGTCAAAACATAATTATTTCTATGTCTTTTGCTTAATAGGTTGTCAACTCACTATTATACGATCATAGGTGTCATTCTCACACTTAAAACTCATTTACACCAGAAATAATAACACAATTACCTCCCAATTACCACCCTTGTTTTCTATTCTCCACCATGGAGTAGCTAACTTCAAACGTTTGAATTTGTCGATGAAAATGATATTTTTGCCAATTTCTCAACTGGCAATAGTGAATTATAGGATTAATAGGATTATTCTTTAACAAGGTAGGACTGTTTATAGATACCATCTATTTCAAGGCTTTATTTTAATAAATTTTAAAAATATAACTTAAAAATATGAAATTGCAACTTTAATAGACATGAGAGTGATTTAGCCAGGACAGTGGCATTTCCTCCTACTCTTCATCGAATTCCAGCTGTTAAGGAATATTTATTTGGGCTTCGTCCCAAAGCTGATTCCTTTCCTTAACAGTGGAAATTAGTCTACAAAGTCCGGAGGAACTTTCTCGGCAAAACCGTTATCGAACCTGGGACCGATGAGTGACTCAGCGCCATACACACTGAGCTATCGGGGTGCGGGGTGGGGGGGGGGTGCGGGTATGTGGACCGAAGTTTAAAACAAACCATTTCAGTAAACACCAAATTTATTCAACAAAATATAATATACAGGTCTCTGATTTAAATCGCCTAATATCACTTTCTAGGCTTAAACTATTATAGATTTTTTAACAGTACAAAGGTGGATTTATAACAACTGCTTATATGGAATATTTTCACAGTATTAAAAATATTATAGTATCATTTTTTGTACAATAAAAGGAGTGGATTTAATATGAAATGTTGATCAAATATATAAAAAGTAGAGCATTGGTTAGATTTATGGATATTAATTTAATTCTTCACAATTGTATTCATGAAAATACATGATCAATATAAAGTTCTAAATAGATACAAATATTATGATATTAAGATGTATGTCCGAATGTCAAAGATCCAATGTATTTCTCGGACACTGACATTAAAATGTTGTTTTTATTGCACTTTGTCATAGTAAAAACTATATATATCGGTATCGGTATAATATAACTGGAGCTACTCGGAACTCAGAATAAGTTATTTTCCAAAAATGTAAATAAAGTTATTTTTGAATTATAATTTCGATTCTGTTTAATACTATATGAATAATTAATTAACAATTAAACAACTTTCTATTTGAATATTCTGTTGAGTAACGTTTCGTCTAAGACTACATTTACACCACACTGATACAGTTAATTTGATAGCACGAGGAAACCGTAGTTATAATTTTAATATGTTAATAACATTATGCACACCTTGCAATAAACACGGGTGAGAACTGTGCATTTATTTATAAGTGAACCCAAAAGCTAAAGAAACGCACAATAACATCTTTAAATGATATTTGGCATTTGATCTTGCGCCAATTAGATAAATCTAATTTTCAATAATAAAAAAGAAAATATGGGACATCCCTTGAATACAATATTTCAGGGATCCATAAATTGCTTAAATGTCGCAGGTGTACAAATAATACCAAATGACATTCAAGTATACTTATACACACATGTTATATTACTAAATAGGAACAATTTACGGAATCGGCATTATTAGCAATTTATACATATATATGCGAAAAATTAAACGTTTCTTTGGCTATTCAGTGTGAAGTACATGTACATTCATTATAAAAGTATTCCTCAAAATTATCACAGTCAATTGCTGAACACGTGATGACGTGATCACATAATTATTACTAAGTGAAAGTTATTGATGTGTTGTTGGATATAAAGTCTGTATAAGTGATTATGTATCGATAGAGTGAGCCAAAAATGAAACTAAATTTAGAAAACAAATTACTATTTAATCTTTCGCATGAAAAAATTAATCGTTTAGATCCTGATCTATAATTAATCGAAATAACAAGTCAAATAAACCCAATTTAATATTTCATTTTGACGTAAATCAAATAGGTTTAGCGCTTTTAATATATATGACCAGTATACTGTAAAATAATACACGTTTAATAATAAGTGTTCATTCTATCAAATATATTTAGTTCTTTATTATATTCTTTTGGAAACAAACTAAAACTACAATCTTTTGGAAAGTGTTTGCCAAAACTAACAATTGTATATTGTAGGTCTTATAATTAAGTTGAAGTTCTGGTGTAAGTGGCACATCAAGACATTAAATTGATATGTACATATATTATCATTTATAATGATAAACAAAAATTCAAATCATAAAAATACACAGCAAAATAATCCCAATCAGATTCTAGAATGTGAGCAAACAAAGAATAATACGTAGTTAAAGTCCCTGGTCGTCATTTGAGGTATTTTGAATCCCTTTCAAACTACAATATTGTCAACGTTTAAAGAGCTGGTAGTTCTCACTATAATAGTTAAAAACGATAATGTAAAGGGAATTTTGGGCCTAGCCTCGATCATCATTACTAAAGTCGGAACGATAAAAAAAAACATAATCTCGATTATCCATTTTTTGATTTAATCAGAAGCAGCAGACCGGGTTTTAATCCAGTAAATATCGCTGGCTGATGATGCCATCGAGAGTTGTTTATGGTCTTGATAAGTTAATTAATGTCTAATTAATAATTTAGATAACACTTCAGGCCTAAAGAAAGACCTGCAATTGACAGATTTAGCTCTTGCATAATGTATGTTTAAATAATAAATATTGTCCAGCAAATGACGACCAGTGACTTTAATATAATAATAGAAGTTTATCTAATATAATATGTTATTTTAAAACCGCCGGTCAAATTATAACAGAGAAATAATGTAAAAGAGGGTAAAATTATGTTTATCTATATTGATAGCCTTTCTAAAATAAAATTTTAAAAAGGAAGGAAGAGGAGAAAACAGTACAGTATGGTGAGGGTTCTACTTAGGTACAACCTTACAGGGGGACTTTAATTATAGTAGCTGTTTTCCACTCCTAGGACAAATAATAATGGCAAACAAGATGCTTTCTAAGGATTATAGTGGAAAGTAAAGCTGAATCAAATTAAAAAAACAAACAAACAAAAACAATCTCAATTCTGATTACATAGTTTTAGTTTTCAGATTACTAACAAAATTTAATGTAAATACAGACTTTAATCAAAGTCCCCTTTTTTCACTCATAGGGAAAATAATAACCGCAAACAAGGCTTTCTAAGGTTGGTAGTGAAAATCAAAGCTGAATCACACTAAAAAAAAACAACACCTATCTCAATTACGATTACATATTTTTTTTTTGCTAACAAAATTTAACGGAAAAACAGAGAGCGATTTCTTGTCTAGACTAATTACATGCAGAAATAAAAATAATAATAATATGATCAAGAATGTATATTGTAATAGCACTCTACATGCCAATCATCGAATACATTTCTTCTATCACTCCACCAATATCAGGACGTTCTATTATCACCTTAATTGTGTTTTTGTCTGGGCTAGACATCACAATTTTATCAATTTGTTTAAAACGGAATGTTTTGAAAGTAAAATTGTAAAGAAATAAAAAAAATAATACTGAATTGCACATACGATCGTGTCAAAAATATATTTTAGGACGGATTTTGTTTGATAACATTACTGTCTTTCAAGTTAATGACAGTACGTAGACATAAACCAAAATATAAAATATTGTTTGTAATTAGTCGAGCTTAGTTAAAATTAGATAAAATATTCGTTTCGTTTTATTTAATATTTTTTAGACTACATTGTAATCAAGGCAATTTCTATCATTAAACTGTTCGCACAAGAAAAGATCTTCATACTTATCAATCCGAATTCGCACTCGCATAATTCACCGCAATACGCGGCACAGTATACGAATACGGACAATTTATTTAGTCAAGAAGTTCGCCTGATCTGAGCGCCGTCTTCCAAAACAAATGAGATATATGATGCTATTTGTTTTTTTTCTTCTGATTTTTCTGAACACGCACTTCAAAAAAATTTAACAGATACGAATGTGGTACCATCAAAATAAAACGAAACGAAATAACATCTGAATGTGAGATGTCAACGAAGTGCAACATAAAAGATATAAATAGTGACACAATTAAAATCTGGTTTTACTATAATTGGCTATAGTGTTATTCATCGCAACGTATGTATCGTCAGACATTGAAATTCAGCAGTATTATGACGTCATGGACAGATTCTTACAAAGCACTTGCTGGTATCTTTTCTGTATCGATCTTAAAATTTATCAGAGTGGCCAACTTTGTTTCTGAAACGAAAAAAAAAACCAACATATAAGTACAATCAGTATAACCTTTTGTAAAATAGAACGAACCAATCGGGGATGACATCATTAGCGGCAATTGCAGAGTTTAAGATCATGCACGATCAAAAATATCAACATAAACTCATTATATTTAATTAATTGTGCCTAGTAACATCGAGGCCATGACTCTAACTAACCTAAAGTTTTTGTTTTAATCTAGTAAATAAAGATCTAAAACCACTTTGGAACCATTATGTTTGTTTAATGTAATTACTCGACTGTTTGTATGGGCTTTCTTAGATTAACAATATATTCAAATTAAAAACAAAATGAATGCAATTTGAGAGAAGTATGTTGATAAAATAAGAATAGTCAATGAAATTAATATTCAATCTAATCTACATAAAGTGTGAAAATAAATATCCACACCCAAAGCACTATAAGACTTAAAGGAGTTCTTAAAAGAGTAAGCTTACACTGCCTTGAATTTTTGTCCAAATATCTAGAAAAACCCGATTGCATACAAGAAAAGTTTACCAACGGAAGGGTTATCTCCCATTAAGATTCAGAACATTTTTTATTTGGTTTGCACTTTGAGCAACTGTGATAGGTTAAAACCAATATTGTAAGAGGAAAAGCATCTTTTAATTGGCTAATCGGGTCGAGTTAGATTAGCTAACACATACATCTTAAAGATGTCCTTGGACCTTATACATTATCTGCGATATCACTTCGGTAGAAGCGGACGTTAAATAAAGCTATTTCACACAAGACCTTATACTGAAGCTACACGCAGACGGGTTGGGATTGGGGGTAACTATAGCTATCGAAACGCTGTAAAGATTTGCATTCATGTATCTAAAAAAAGAACGTTCAAGCAGACCTTGGCTGTTATTGTTGCAGTATCCATTATTCGAAAAGAACACTAGATAACAAACAATACCCATTCATATTAGCACTAAGCATTTGTTGTGGGCTTTTTTTAAAAGCTAATTCAGAAGGATAAAGCAGGTCAATAAAAAACATAATGTAATGGCCGGCAGTGGCTTAATGAGATACACGGATTTAACAATCAAAACAACTATACATCAATTAAATTTATCTATTCAAAAACCTTTAAATTTGCAAGTGAAATTAATCTTAAAAAATGGCCGATTGAAAATTACTGAAACACAAAAATGAAGGCCCCAGAGGAACCCCAAAAAAGCATGCGCTTCAGTAGAGTTTTAGACTTTTGAGATTCAGGGGAATCTATGCCAAAATATGCCAAAAACTCAAATTAGTTTATTAGTACCAATCGATTTGCGGCTTATCTCAAATAAGACGTGTCTCAATTGGCCTAACCGGTCACATATATTTTTAGGGGAGCAGTTATTGGCTATTTTAGTTCTTACTATTTACCTAGGTAGAGGATAGCTTTCGCTCACTGGTGGTTTACTTTGAATTTAAAAAAAAAATTAAAACAAAAAAAAACTATAAGTAAAGATAACTAATAGCTATTGCATAAAACAAATAAAATCAAAACACATTCTAATGTAAAACAAAAATCTACTAAAGAAATCAATACAATGAGCTAACATGCCCCCCCCCCCCCCCATTGCAATACATATACACACTGGTAAATGAAATCGGGTTGATGAAGACAGGTATACGTCATACTGTGTGTAATGAAATGAAATGAGGTTTAACGCCCTACTGTTCTGCTCCGACTAGGATAATGAAGACGGACAGAAGCCATACAGTGTGCTATGAGGGAAATTTTGCCTGGACAGGACCGCAACGGTCTACTCTTATATCGAATTCAAACTGCCAAGGGATCTTTTACGTGTACGCCAATGTATGCACGGGATCTTGGTTTTTCGTCCCATCCGAACGACTAGACATCTGTCCTTGTCAGATCCTCCGTCCTGTACTACTGACAAGGGGAAACCAAGTCGGAAAATCCCGACGAACGAACTTTCTCGGCCAACATCGGAAAAGAACCCGCGACCTCCCGCGTCTATACTCACTTCGCCACCGTGGCCCCCAGTGTATTATGAGGGAAATGGTAACTAAATCATAAATGGTACTTTTTTGTCACGGAGTAGTGCATACCAATTGATAATCAAAATAAAGTACATAAAAAGAATTGGTAACTAAAATATGATTGGTGAATACAATTAAACATAACAAAATGGTTATTAAAAGATGCCACATTATCACAGATTCTGATTGGGGAATACCAATAAACAAAATAAAAACCACTATATAGGAAGAATTGGTCACAAAAGGCGACTACATTAGTCTCAGATTGGGGAACAGCATTAAATCTAAAAAGGTTAGCTAAAAGGTGCCACATTAGTCACAAATTGGGGAATACCTATATAAAGTAAAATTACTATAGGAATAAGTAACTAAAAGTTTCTACATTAGTCTCAGATTGGGGAATACCTATATAAAGTAAAACACGCTATCGGAAGAATTTGTAACTAAAAGCTGCTACAGATTTGGGAATACCATTAAATAATAAAACAAACCATAGAACGAATTGGTAACTAAACGGTGATACATTACTCACAGTTTCGGGTACCAAGTAACAATGAAACAAACCATAGAACGAATTGGTAACTAAACGGTGATACATTACTCACAGTTTCGGGTACCAAGTAACAATGAAACAAACCATAGAACGAATTGGTAACTAAACGGTGATACATTACTCACATTTTGGGGTATACCAAGTAACAATGAAACAAACCATAGAACGAATTGATAACTGAAGGGTGATACATTACTCACAGATTTGGGTATACCAAGTAACAATGAAACAAACCATAGAACGAATTGGTAACTAAAGGGTGATACATTACTCACGGATAGGAAGAATTGGTAACTAAAACTTGATACAGTTTGGGGAATACGGAGTGATAATAAATTTTAAATATACACAAACAATGAACGTTAATTACCCATCTCCAAATGCATATGCTGGTGGTGGACTGATAATAAAGATAACAATTTTAAATGCTTTATGTATTTTAAACACTTTCTCAAGAAATTCAAACAAAACGCAACAAAATATAAATTAAATTATTTCAATAACTGAAACGACCAATATGAAATGAGACATTTCGTCAAGAATCAATGATCAACAGTTTATGATATCAGCCGTTGTGCCCAATTGTTTGGATAACTTCATGATCCTTATACTAGATGTAGTTGAAAATTCACGTTATTGTCTTAATTTACACCCCGTCTTCATTAGCCCAGGTTAGGAGCAGAACAGTAGGACGTTAAACCCCATTTCATTTCATTTCATTTACTTAATTTACACTGCGGTATGCAGTTAGGGTCACCACACATTCCAATCAATCAATTTCAATTTTGACGAAATGTCCCTTTGTGCATCATAAAACAGACAATACCTGTATGGCCTAAGTCCTAAAAAATAAGCAATACAACATAATCTTATAATTTGATATATATATATATATATATATATATATATATATATATATATATATATATATATATACGATTGGTCCACCAAAAGCGATTGGCGTTCAAGAAATGTTTGAAATGCGTCTTCACACAGTACGAAATGACGTGAACCTGTTTTGTACCGATTGGGCCAATGAAAAACGGGAATATGCCATGCAGTGTGGTATGCAGGATATTTTGCCCGAACAGCGGCGCTACGGCCTAATTTGTTTTTATCGAATTTCAACTGTCAAGCGTACACGCCAGTGTGTACACAGGACCTTGGTTTTTCGTCCCACCCGAACGACTATACGTTGTCCCTTGCCAGGGCCCAGTCTTCACAGCATGATTTGATCCTTGAAATCAGATGAAGCCAGTCAAATGCCCCAATTAGCTTTATACATTAATCTAAAATAGTATGAACGTTAAAAGATAACTTACCTTCCACCGATCATATTATGATCATCGTTTTTAGTTCTGTTAAAAAAAAGATAAGTTGCATAAGTATAATTATAGTCACGATAGGTACCCATAATGTATTTAAATGAATTAACATAAGGTTTAAAGTCCTACTTGTCAGCACTAACCGAAAAAATTGAAAAATAACTTTCATCTTTGTTTGACGTATTCATTTTCTATAATATACTTTTTAAAACTTCATTTAAACATTATGCAAGAGCTAAATATCCCTATTGCAGGTCTTTCTGTAGGCCTGAAATGTTTTCTAAATTATTAATTAGACATTAATTAACTTATCAAGACCATAATCAACTCTCGATTTCATCGCTAGTCTGCGATATTTAGTGGATTAGGATCCCATTTGCTGCTCAACTTTCATTTATGATTTAATCATGAAATGGATAATGGATAATCGAGACTATGTTTTTTATCAGACCGACTTTAGTAAAGGTGATCGAGACTAAGCCGAAAATTCAATCATTAATTTATCGGTTTAGAGTGGATCAATTTTACTGAAATTATAGTGAGAACTGCCAGCTCTTTATCTAATCTCCCATAATGTATCTTTAAAGTTTAGATTGAAATTGGGAAATCAAAAATTGTAATAATAAGTGTAGAAGGACTGCACTAAAACACAAAACCGGAAAGGACACAAACTAGATAGACACACCCCCAAATAGACTGGGCACCATATATAGATGATGTGAGTGATACAAGACATGATACAATTTAAACATGAATGTTTTACTTACGGTAGCGTAGCATCGTACATATCAAGTTGCTTCATTCTTCTGAAATGTTTTGCTAGTTTCACAGAAAATATTGTACTTGGTACAAAGAAGAAAAGGCACCAACCAATACAGAACCAGAAACCATTCTGAAAACCAAACACAGAGACAACAATAACATTATATCCATCAATAAAAAATAAGTACGGGTGTCGTGTGAATTAATCAGGGTCAGAGTGTGGCGTCATGGCAGCGATCTTGGAATTGTGCCGCCATATCAAAAGGCCCGTCAACAGATGCGCCATTCTCCAAGAAGAACGAGCACAAGATTACCAAGTGTTTGAAAACAGTTCAGGGTTAAAAAATGTTTTAAAAAAATATATATTATGCCCCCCTCTCCCTTTTTCCCTTGACAATTATTACAAAATAAATAATATATTTTTAAAATACTTACGAAGGCATCGATGACATATTTACAGAAACCAATAACAACCACAGATTGATATAGATTATATACTGGTGTACATTTCGCTACATCATTTTCTAGCTGTAATGAACAATACAATTATGTTTATTCCATTGTAATTCAATATAGATAGATGTTTATGATTTTATACAGATTAATACACATAAATAAACAATAATCAGTTTGGAACAATCATTTCTTAACATAAAGATAGCCTCCCACTTTCTAAATATGTATTTGTAGATGTTGTAATATACAAGTCTAACAGAAAATTACTTACCCCTGAAATAGCACGATTTACTAAAGCATCGGTGATTGTAAATACCCGCAGTACAAAGTCTCGTAGAACCTGGAATATAATTTTTATGTATATGCATTATCAAAGCCGATGATGATGCATTTTTCATTTAATAGCTAAATACACACCTTTGTATATGTGTCCAAATTGATTAAGAAATAAAATCAAAATATCAATGGTAGATAATTTGCCCGGCTAGGATTCAATCGGATTAAAAAGGGACCAATTCAAAGGCGTTGGCTGATTATATTGAATGAAGGGGATGCTGAATGCTGTGAAATCTCCAATGCATCATGAATACTGAACGGATCTGAACCATATTTGGACTGATTCCATGTATATAAACAAACAAACACTTACATTAGTCAATACAGTGCTGCCATTGGTATTTAAGAATTCTTGAGTTGTATTAAGGCTGGCTAATAGAGTATCAATCTTTGTCTGAAAAAATAAATCACAATAATTTGTTTTAACATGTTTATGTAGCTGATGATGTCTATTCAAAGACGGTCAATGGTGAAGGACGGAGAGCCTCTTCTCCTTCGAATATGACAAAAAACGAGGCGTGTTAGTAAAAGAACCATTGGCGGTTGGAATTTGATGAAAGAGTAGATTAGGAATTAGCGCCGCTGTCCGGTAAAAATTTCCCTCGTACGCCCACCTTAATTATCCATTATAGAGAAGAACAGTAGGGCAGGAGAGAGAGAGAGAGAGTTTAACGTCCACGGCACAAACTAGGGCTTTAGGAGTAGGATCAAACCGGAGGACCCGGAGAAAACCCACGAGGTTGGACAGGCGACACTAGTCCTTGTAGTGTACAACCGGGCAATCGAAACCACGACAGTTGACTCAAAGACAGACCTTATGATACAACGCACACGCGCTAACCATTCGCCCCCACTATCGTTTAGAGCCATGCACAAGACGTAAATTTTGAACTAAGACAAAACAAATGAACATATACAATCCACTGAAATGGTCAATTGTAATTTGTACCCTAAGCTGAGTTTCTGTAAATCAGAAATACATACCGGTATACCTCCCACAGATGTTTCAAGACTACTCATGCTTGACGCCAGTGTATTCTGAAATTTAAAAATATTAAATAAAATAAAAAAAAGATAATAAAGAATACATTAAGATGATGCTTTAAACCATGTAACGGATTTGTTTTTGACAGGTTTTTTTTTTTTTTTTTTTTCTTTAAAATATTTATTCAATTTAAAAGTCGTATAACAATTGTATAAAGAGTAGTATAATATTAATAACAATTTAACATTTGATGTACATTATTTCCATATAATTTAGTTAATATACATTATGAAAAAATGTGAATCTACTATACTGTATTTACAACAGTTTCCTTTCACAAACACAGTGTGACTTACAGCCTTATAGGCGAAATGGTGATGCAGCCATTACTGGAAGTAAAAATGAACCTCACCTTAGAAGCAACTGCGTCACTAAACGAACCGTCTCTAATTGTTATTAAATCGTCTCGGTGCGTCGTCATGTCTGTCTGTAATTCAAATGAAATATATAATCAAATATCTAAAATCACAATTTAAAAGTAGATCTAATTTTGTTCTGTGTATTTTGATGGCCACTCCATAAAGACAATGATGACGATCAGGGTCGATCAATTTCAGACAGCATTATAAAGTTCCGTGTCGAATGTTAATATTATTTTGATTAGACTACTTAAAGGCACGATAAATTACCATTTTTTATCACAATATTACCGGGTTTGACCATATTACCAGCCCAGGTCTGATTTAAAACCCATGACCACATTATCAGGTAAGACTTAAAACGCAGGTCACGTTACAATGTCTGGCTTAAAATCTATGACCAAGTTTGACTTCAGAGTGTTATAGACAATACTGTTTTTTACGGCCCCTAGATTTCTAAATTACACAATGCATTTAATCACTGACGAAAATATTTCATTTATTTCACAAAAATCCAAAAGAATAATAACCTACCTTAAAAGTACTTGGGCTTGCAGCATTAATAGCAGCAGTTAAACCCGTAATGAAAGCCGTTAAGTCATCACCTGTTACATTTTTATTTAACTGAAAAACAAGACAAGAAATTACTACAACTATCAAACACAAAAGTTTAATAGAAATTGAGAATTGTCATTTGGTCTTACATAGAGTCGTATGTATTATCAACATAAACGGCCTTCATGCAATATCCAAAATTTCGATAAAAGATCTGACAATTTCACTATAATAGTTTAAAAATAGATAATGCAAAGTGAATAATTTGAAAATTTCAGTCAAATTACTTTGTTCTGTGCGGAATTATAAATGTTTTAAGAATAGCGTAGACTCGATTGTCTTTGCTATCGTTGTTACGATGATAAACCAAATCTTGATTATCCAGTTTTAAATTAGACAGCGATTTTGTTTAAATCCGTTCAAAATCACTACCACCCGGTGTTCTAGAGAGCTGATTATGGACTTTTCGTATTAGCATTTACATAATGTTTAAATGGACAACACCATGCCCCCACCCCTCCCTCCGATTAATTTATTTGGTCATATACTGTCATTCATTTATCAAGAAACATCCTGTACGATATTTTGGCCGCCTCCACCTAACTATTTTGCAGATTCTAAACTAATTGAATCGAGAGTTTCTGAATTACGAAAAATTAAATGTATTCGTTTGATTTTTCTAATTATCAATTAAAAAAGATTAAAAGACTGAGTGACCAACCTCCTCTGTGTAAGAAGTAAAATTCATATTGGTTATACTGTTTTTAAAATTCTGCATGTTATCTTTCAATGATGCGGGGGCCACTTCAATTGTACTGAAGTCCACATTGAAGCTGTTCAGTTTGCTGTCTATGTCCAGTTGCTAAAAAATAAAATGCGAGGTTATTAAAACTGATAGACAAATTAAACACACCAGTATAGTCTCTATTGTCCATTACTAAATCACCTTCTCTTTTTCTCACTCACCCTCTCTATCCCCTCCTCCACCCACTACCCCTCTGTCTGTCTGTCTGTCTCTCTCTCTCTCTCTCTCTCTCTCTCTCTCCCGACGCCCCCCTCTCTCTCTCGCCTCGCCTCGATATAAGAGTAGGCCGTAGTGCCGCTGTCCGGGCAAAATTTCCCTCATAGCATACCCGCCTCCATTAGCCCAGTCAGAGCAAAACAGTAGGATGTTAACCCCCATTCCTTTACGTTTTATTTCGCTCTCGGTTTTATACTTACACTTTTATAGTTTTGGATGATAGATAGATTGAATCCGGACATGTATTTCAGTTTGAAAGCAGTATAGGCTGTTTTTCCATCACCACAATCTCTGTTGATAAAGCAAAACAAATCTTTGAATAAAACGGACTAATTAAATGGATTATCTAGACTATGTTTTTGTCGTACCGATTTTAGTAATGATGATCGAGGCTAGGCGGAAATTTCAATCGCTTAATTCTCGATTCATAGTGGATCAATTATCTAGTTTTTAACTAATGTAGTGAGACTTGCCAACTCGTTATCTAATCTCCCATAATGTATCTTTAATTCACAAGTTAGTTTTACTGACTGTCAGTTCTTCTCGTTACGTCACATCCAGAATGTTACTTTTCAGCCAAAGTATATGCACTTCCAGTCGTGTGATCTAAAGAATTTTGTCAAAACTGAATATTTAGGATACTCACTTCAGGACGGTGCCAATCTTCAGGTCAACATTGGGGTCATTCAACAAAGTCTTGCCTAAATATGATTCATTGCCACTACCCAATAAACCAAAATTATCAATAAGCTGCAAAATTAGATAAAAAAAAGATTAATGTAAACATGATATACGTATTTCTTACTAGATATCTTAGAAAAAGAGTAAACATATACTCCAAATGGATTGCTATTGTTGTACACGCGCCAGCGTATGCTGCCCCTTTTAAGAACACCTGGTATTGAAAAGAAGGGTTAACTTTCTTATTATTCTGCACCAACAGATTAATAGTGTACTATGGGTGAATTATTTCCGGGCAGCAGCGCCACAGTCTATTTTTATTTCGATTTTCAACCATACTGTTAATAGGATCTCGTTTTTTTTTGTTGCATACGAAGGATTAAACGCCTTTCCTTATCATGGCCTCCCTCGTGTACCACTGACAAAGACTGGAAAATCCCACAGAACTATCTCGGCCAACAAAGATGCCGGACATGATTAATGATCCAGGGGCATATTGGCTCCCAGAATAGTACATTTACTATTATATGAATAAAAATTGACCACTTTGAGACCAGAACGACTGTGTCTTTGATCCGCTTCACCGTTTCATTGTAAAAGTACACGCTTACATAATACTAAATTTTCATTTCGAATTGGATCTTATCGATAATATAAATTCAAACCTTTTGTATTGTTTCTAGCTCAGGTTCAGACAGTGGTTCGCATATAAACTTTTCAGCAGGAGCGCCAATTAAAAATGTCAGTGTTGTCAGAAACATCAAGAGCCAAGAAAAAATGAAAATAAACCCAACAGCTCTGAAAAAAAAATAATAAATTTGAAATGTTATCAGAACTAATTCCTTATAACGGTAACAAAATCTAGAAAAATTAGTATCCAAAATGAGTGGTTTTAAAGGAAAATGAGATAGGGTTTCAAGTCATACGTTTGCGCATCAACTGAGCACAACTGAGAAATAATCTGAAAAATGCTCTCAGAAATAAAATGAAAAGAGGTTAAGTGTCTCACTATTCTGCAAACTGAATAATTATCAAAATACGCCATGAAGACTGATCAAGATAACATCCTGACAGCGGCACACCAGGCTCCCAATGTCAGAGGATCTTTAACGAGTGACCAATTATATAATACACTGAGTAATATATGTAAGAAACTATTAATATTCAAATTCCAAAACCAATGATAAAGACAGGTCATATTTGACTAAAGGATAAATATGAAATACATACGCCATGAGCATGTTTCCGCCAGCATTTGATAAACAGCTTCTCTCTGTAGGGAGGGTGTCCGAACTACTTCCACATACACCAAAGGCTAATCCGAGAAATTCTAATAGAACAACCAATAAAACAATACTAGTCAAGCCAACGCCACCATACCACCTAAATGAAAAAGGGGTGAACTATATAATTTTTGCAATTCTATTACTTTATTAGACAGAGAGAGAGAGAGAGAGAGAGAGAGAGAGAGTAACAAATCATTTAGGGACTAACAAATGGGTCAATTTTATTTCAATAATTCGCTTGCGCGTAGGGGTCTTTAGCCGGGGGAGGAAACCGGAGGACCCGGAGAAAACCCACGAGGTTAAACAGGCGACCCTACTACTAGTCACGTACAACCGGGGAATCGAAACCACGCCAGTTGACTCAATGACAGACCTTATGATACAGCGCGCACACGCTAACCATTCGTCCAATAGGCCGTTTATAGTCGAGGGCCCAGTGATCTGGCCACCGGCGTCCTTGGCCACACAAACGAATACTGTTTATAAAGCAATAGTCAATAATTTAAACATACATTATGCAAGAGCTAAGTCTGCCTATTGCAGGTCTTTCTGCAGGACTATTAATTAGACATTTATTAAGACGAAAAGACCTTAATCAACTCTCGATACCATCTTATGTGTCGGATTTTCACTGGACTTGAATCCGATCTTCTGTTCAACGCTCCATGATGATTAAATCTAAACGTGGATAGTCAAGACTATCTTTTTCATAGTACCGGCTTTAGTAATGATGATCAAGGCTAGACCTAAAATTCAATCGCTAATATCTCTGTTCAGCGCGGAGCAATTGGACTGAAATTTTCAGCATATTATTATTCCCTTTATATTGTCTAGTTTTTAACTATTATAGTGAGAACTGCTAGCGCTTTATCTAATCTCCCCTACTGCCCCTTTAACATTACCTGTATTTATCATAAGGTTTGGCCAGGTCACTATATTCAGTCACTAGTTTCTTAATATCTTCTATGTTAAGACTACCAGAAGCCTGAAACATTCACAATAAGGAGTTTAAAACATGTAATTGCAACATTAGAATGGAGTTATATCCCCTATTGATTCCACATCTAAAATGGATTAAGTCCCCTATTGATTATTAAAAAGGTGTTCTACCTCCTGTTGATTCAACATGGGTTATACCTCCTTATGATTCCAAAATTAAAAATGAGTTATATCTCCTATATTGATTCAACATTAAAAAGAGTTATATCAACAACTGATTCAACATTAAAAAGGAGCTATATCCCCTATTGATTCAACATTAAAAATAGGTTACACCTCCTTCCGATTCAACATTAAAAAGGAGTTATATCCCCTATAGATTTAAAATGAAAAAGGTGTAATATCACCTATTAAATATTGACTGTATCCATAAGCTTATTTATTATAAGAATATAAATCGACTGCAATTGCATAGATAACTTACGTCAGTTTGGAACTTTTCTATCGTGTCGATAATTGGAGTTATTTCCCCTTTATAGTTGGTGACGGTGGTCTTCAGGTCTACAAAAGATTGACATAATGCAATATACACGTTTTTCACGTGTCAAGTGTTATATTTATTGAATCCAGCCTAAATTTTAATAGCTGGACAATTAGAGACAGAGAGAGATAAATGGGATTAAACTCGACACAAATTGCACGTAAATCTTTTTTAAAAGTGGACGGAAACTGGTGGACCCAGAGACAGCGCACGAGGTTGGACAGGCACTCACCCTCCATCCTTGTGGGGTATAAACCAGTCACTTGACTTAATGACAGACCGGAATGTTTAAAGGGCGCCCATTAGGCCACTAGCACAACACCCACCCAATCCAGGTCGCCGCCCCGCTGTTTGTAGTTGGTGATAACGCTTATATTAGCAAAGCAATTAGAACTGATGACCTAAGCACTTAGCACCGTAACACTGCTTCTAGCAATTCCAAAACAAAGGAATTCAAACAAAATAATGAACATGAAAACCTGTAGATCTGAAATGGTTGTCTACCTTGAATAGTTGAAGCAGAATCATTTTTCACTCTTTCGGGAATACCATTAAATTCATCTTTTGCCTGACATAAAAAGATTACCATTATATCATAATGTGTGATTATTTATAAGAGACAGAATGAAGTTTAAAGCCGTCGAGGATATTTGAATCCTCGGCGAATATTCGGCGACCATTCGATGCATGGTCTTTCGGTGATACATTCCCATCCTCGGGGTTAAAAAGTACATTCTTCCCATGGCAATGATTGGCTTGAGTTTGCCTAAAATACATTTCGTTTTGAATCCGCGAGCATTTCCATAATGCCTCGGTCCGACTTGGCATTTTTTGCCTCGGGGATGTACTACCGATGGGAATTAATGAGTCTATAGGGAACAGGTTCACCAGTGGCATAAACAAACATAGTAGCCAGACAGATTAAGTCTATACTTGTATTTCGAAAAAAGTGGTCATTATGTGATAGCAACAATAGATTTGAGGGGCAGCAATGGCGTCACAGGATTTTGCCGAATCAAACAATCGGTAAATCGGTAACGTTTGATGACAGAGCAATAACTCTGTGCCAAACTGATACGCGACATATCGAGACCGGAACTGCAGATATAAAGCATATGACTGAATATACTTACAGTTTGAACTAAACTGGACATATCCTGGCTTCTTACGTTGTCTATCTCAGTTTTAACAGACGAAATATCAATCTGAAATGATCGAAATTGGAAATGAATTTCATCAATACATAATATTAAATACAAATGATCAATTAACAGCACCAATGAGTGTCTTGTCCAATGCAGGTAATGCTTACTCATTTTAGAAAACCCGAAACTACTTTCCATTTGACCACTTCAAATAGCGTAGGGTGGGTTAGTATACTTCTGTGATTAAAATTTTCTGATATAAATGAAATGCGGTTTAAAGGACAATATTGGTGTCAGTCATTATAAAATATGTGATAGAGCTCGTTAAATACATCCCAAATATAATTTTAACACAGAGATCATTGCTACGATAGCTGAGTAACAAGCGCGTGAAGAAACGGGAAGTGACGTCAAACATGACAAACACGAGTTGTCCTTCTATATAACAGACTGAAGTAACGAGCGGTAACAGACAAACGATCGAATTTCATTTCACTGATAATTCAGTTGAAGATGAAAAGTTGTTATATGAGACGATGAGAGGATATCTGACAATTCAAAAAAAGAATTGGCTGTCAGTAGATAAAAGATAACGAACAAATTAGAAAAAGTCCGTGCATTACCATGTTTTTATTAAGAACAGAATGAATAAAAACGGGAAAATGCACGGGATTTTTCTATTTTTCTCGTGTCCCTTATCTAGTGACAGCCAATTCTATTTTTGAATTGTGAGATACCCTCTCACCGTCCCATATAATAACTTTTCAACTTCAACGGAATTTTCAGTGAAATGAAATTCGATCGTTTGTCTGCTACCGCTCGTTACTTCAGTCTGTTATATAGAAGGACAACTCGTGTTTGTCATGTTTGACGTCACTTCCCGTTTCTTCACGTGCTTGTTACTCAGCTATCGTAGCAATGATCTCTGTGTGAAGAAAATCCGAAAGCACGTGAGCGCCATTCACATTTAGAGATTGTATAACATTATTAATATTCAGTGGCATGAAAAGTACACAATTATTACAAGACGTTAGATTGTTTTCTTGTATTTTCGTCTGCAATATCACCTTTAGTGGATGCGGACGGTAATAGCCCTGAACAAACCACTTCATTTCTATCTATATTTACATACAGCATGCTTACAGGTTAACAAGTTACCAAGTTACCAGGTTACCAGAGAGAGAGGGAGAGAAACAGAGAAACAAAGAGTTTAACGTCTTCTCGACACAAACCAGGTCATTTCGGGACCAACATATGGTTCAATTTTATTTAAATAATTCGCTTGCGCGTAGGGGTCTTTAGCAGTGGGAGGAAACCGGAGGTCTCGGAGAAAACCCACGAGGTTGGAAAGGCGACCCTACTCTTTGTCACGTACAGCCGGGGAATCGAAACCACGCCAGTTGATTCAATGACAGACCTTACGATACAACGCGCACGCGCTAACCATTCGGTCATCCACCCCACCGCTTCTTACAATAAATAAAGCACTTACATTATTAGGATCAAATGGAGGAGATAGATTACTGCCATTGATAAACAAATTACACACTGATGGGCCGTCGGGACAAGTAGCTCTTGTAGTTTCATAATCAGTTATCCAATTATCTAGATCAGTCTTGAAGGCGGAAAAGTTACTCTTGAGATTTGTAAGGTCACTGTCGACAGTATCAAACTTAGATATAACTGTATTCACATCTGTAAAAGAGAAATCATTAAACAAGACATTCAGGTAGGTGTTGTAGACGCGGCAGAGTATATTTATGCTTTGAAAATGAAAAGAAATTAAATATAAAGGGGTTTAACGTCCTACTGTTCTGCTTCGAACTGGGCTAATGAAGACGGGCATACCCCAAACAGTGTGCTGTGAGGGAAATTTTGACAGGACAGCGGGCACTACGGCCTACGCTTATCGAATTCCAACTGTCAAAGGATCTTTTACGTGCACGCCAATGTGTACACGAGATCTTGGTTTTTTGTACCATCCGAACGACTAGACAGCTGTCCTTGTCAGGCCCTCCGTCCTGCATCACTGACAAGGGGGAATCACGGCGGAAAATTTATGCTTTCAGGAACACACGGTACTACTTTGTTGTTGAAATACGAGTACTTTTACAGTAATTTGTCATAATAGAAGTGACGAAGAACCGTCCTAATATAAGTATTATAGGCGTGTCACTTTAAACATGTATTCCAGTCTACGTTTAAGTCTATGATTGGTGGCTATTTTCTGCGGTGAAATCGTATGGCAGCATACTGATGACGATTTACCTTCATATTTACAAAACAGGGTGGTTGATTTATTTCGAACTCCATCGGTGCCCCCTTTTGTTATGTATGTTAACAAAGCAAATGAATTTATGTTACAACATCCCCACCTCATTCTGAACAAAAACCACTGTTGTTCGATAACAGTATCTTGGAAGCATTTTACCCCGTGCTGCCAGCACCTTAAGCCGCCTGTTTACTATTAGCTATTCTTGAGATCAGACACTAAGCTAATTGACTGACATTTTAAGTACTAAATCGATGATTTTAGTCGCAAACACTAAGTGTATTTCGAGATTTTTGAAAAGTATATATTCTGCTTTCTTTTAATATAATTGAAAAGGTTTAAGTTTAATTAGTCTTTTTAAGTATAAGAGATGTGAACCGGTGTAGGACCGCATTACAAAAACAGTATACTGTTCCATGGCTGGTTAGGGTCTTGTTGGAGACCGTACTAAACTAATGATGTCTGTCTACTTAATAACAGACACTAAGCTGGATGATCGACATTTTGGGTACTAAATTACGATTTTAGTCGAAAACACTTCGAGAATTTTGAGAAGTATTTATTCCATTTATTAATAAAATAATTGAAAATGTTTATTTAGTCTTTGTGTGTATGACAGATGTGAAACGGAGTAGAGTCGCATGGCAAAATAGTATACTAATTTTTGCATATGGCGGTTATTTAGGGCAGAGATCTATTCTCGAAGTAGAGTATACAGTTCTCTGTGTGCATAATGGATTGTCAGCTGAATAAACTCTTCATGACCGAAATCCTGCAAAAGATTTCTGATACTAGCTGAAATGGTATTGCGAATTTGAACCTGTTCTTTTCATAAGTAAATATGCTGTGTATTATTGGAATCTAATGAAAGTATAAATTTACTGTACCTGTTTGTAGACCTCCTACTTGAGTAAAGATGGCATTAATGCCAGCCGATTGATCAAACTTATCTCTAACGGGTATTCCAACTAACACATCCACGTCTACAAAACAAACAAACAAACAAACACATAAACTGATGATTCAACCTGTAGACAGAGACTACAACAACAGTTTAATCTTGTTGTGTATTCGTGAGGGACGCTGGCTAGTTGAATATAACGTCATTGGCCGAGAAAGACCCTTTGGATTTTCCGGTCTGGTTTCCACGTGGAAAACGGGTGGTCGGGAAAGGAAAGAGCACCCAGTTGGTTTGATGACAACACGTTAAAGAGGAGAACGCTAGATAGGAAACGGTCCTGCACATTTTAGCACATATGACATCATATTATGTGGATTGTGGGTTAGGCCCTGCAGATTTCGATTTCGTCAAAGTCTTGAGACGTAAACAGGGCTAGCGCTAACCCTAACCCTAACCCTTACCTCTCCCGTCAAAAGGCAAAACCCAGTAACTCACTTTTTTCTTATTTTGAGAAAACAAAGGAAAACGTAATGAATGAAAATTAAACGCCAGCTCATCCATTGATTTGACTATTGAGTTACTAGGCAAATGAAGGAAGTTGCTAGGTTGTGTCATGGGTGTAACTGCTTACAAAATCAAAAGATTGGAATATCTAGTACAACAACAGGAAGCACATACCCTTGTAACTAAAAATTTGGTCCTAACTCAATTTTGATAAAAAAAAAATGAGTTACTAGGTTTTGCCTTTTGACGTGAGACCTTAACCTTAACGCACAATCCATGTACATGTATGACGTCATATGTGCAAGACCGTCTCCGATCTAGCATTCTCGCGTTAAAGATCCCCTCGAAAAAGGAAACCGAAATATGAGTCGTATAAACAGTAAGGGGTGTAGTTTATTTTATCATCGAGAATATTTTACCCATATACTATAACGAATAAATTAGACATTACCACAATCATGGTCAAACTGTTATTATTTGTATCTTACTTACTGTCTAAATCTCTAAAGAGGACATCAAATGTGAAATTCAGATCATTGTCTAAAAGACGTTTTACTTGCTGAAAAATAAACAAAAAAAATGAATTATAATATATACACGAAATTCAGATCATTTTCTAAAAGACATTTTACTTGCTGAAAAAAACCCAAAAATATTATAATTCAATTCAATTTCTAAAAGACGTTTTACTGGGTGAAAACTAAAAAAAATATTATTGTAAAATAGAGAATACACGACAAGAGTTATCAAAGCAATGGTACACAGACTACAACAGGAAAATAAACTAAAAACGGTAATTGGATATTAAATTTCAGTTTATGCATTGTGTATAGGAATTGTATTTAGGTAATTTTTGGTGAATACCAACGATACGAGGATGTAATAGTACAGATCATTAAACATGTTAGAGTTTCAATAGGGGCATTCTGAAACATTCACGGTTGTTTAAGCAAATAAAATATTCAACAAGGAAAATTTATATTTTGTTTTGTATTACAGGACACTGTAAAATATCCATAGTTTCTTTACTTTCAACATATTATAGGATTCATAGTAAAATATTTAATTCGTTTTGGTTACTTACCGTCACCGTATTGTTGAGGAACAAATCAACATCATCCAGATTATTACCAACGGTACTGTCAAATTTACCAATAGCCGTAGTCATTCGATCGTTGGAAACATAAATACAAATACATCCAACGCTAGAATATAGAATATACGATATTTTCAAAAATCGAAGAAACGATATTTTCAAAAATCGAAGAAACGATATTTTCAAAAATCGAAGAAACGATATTTTCAAAAATCGAAGAAACAATATTTGCAAAAATCGAAGAAACGATATTCTTAGTAAAAATTGATGATACGATATTTTCAATATAAAATCGGCGATATATTATTTTTAATATAAGGTCGAAGATACCATAATATCTTCAATATAAAATCGAATATACGATATTTTTTTAAAAATAAAATCGCTGAGATATAAGCACGCGTATAACACATATCAAGTAAGTAGTGACATGAAACGAGATGAAATGGGGTTTAACGTCCTACTGTTCTGCTCCTATGCTGGGCTACTGAAGACGGGCATACACCATACAGTGTGCTATGAGGGAAATTTTGCCCGGGTAGCGGCACTATCGCCTACTCTTATATCGAATTCCAACTGCCAAGAGATCTTTTATCTGCATTCCAATGTATACACGGGACCTCGGATTTTCGTCTCATCCGAAGGACTCCACAGCATCACTGACAAGGGGAACCACACCGGAAAATCTGGATGAACTTTCTCGGCCAATGCAGGGATCGAACACCCGACCTCCAGGCTAGCGAGCCAGCGTCTTACCCACGTAGCCACGTGATCCCCTCAAGTAAGTAGATAGTTTATCTGTGTTTCCTTTAAATTCCCTGTTGCCTTGATCTGACTTACATTATAAATGTTTTATTTTATTTTTCGCAGGGCTGCAGTGGTCCTGTGATAGGGCACTAGTTTATCTATGTTTCCTTTAAATTCCCTGTTGCCTTGATCTGCCTTACATTATAAATGTTTTATTTTATTTTTTTCGCAGGGCTGCAGTGGTCCTGTGATAGGGCACTAGCTGTTCGACTCAAGAAGAAACGACATGGATTCATTGAGTTAAAAAGGGGGTCATCGAAACATTTTGGACTGACATTTCTTTCAGGGATTCAACTTTCACAGTACACAATCCTGCAAATATATTATGTTTTGTAAGGCACTGCTTACCCTGTAAACACAACAAGAACCAATAAGATGACGCTGTACACTTTACGTCTACATGATGTACTGGGGGATGACTTATGCAACATTTTCCCGCCACAATTTCCACAACATCGACAGCAACAAAAACAGCAACCAACTATGGTAAATATGATAATGAATAGAAATCCAATGACTATAGCTGCTGCGTAACCACCGAATAAGCTTAGCACCTGGAAATATAACGCGTATTAACGTTACATTACAAAACAATAAACATACAATACACTTGGGATTCTTTAGTGAAATGAAATGAAATAGGATTTAGCAAACTACTGTTCTGCAATGACTGGGCTAATGACGGCGAGGGATTCTTTAGTAAATAACTGGTATGAAATGAAATGGAGTTTAACGTTCTGCGTTTCTGCAAGGACTGGGCCAATGAACACGGGCTTACGAAATACAATGTTCTATGAGGTAAACTTTGCTCGGACAGCGGCGAAACCTACTACTATTACCTACTATACCCACACGGACATTATACTTGTCAGGTCCTTGTCCTTGGTTCCGCACCACTGACAACGGGAAACCGTGCCCGAAAATCCTGATTTTATTAAATGGAAGCAAAATAAATTCTCGAAGTTTATGTGGTGCTTTCGACAAACAAAAAATATTGCAATGGCGTGCCAGATGTAGCGTTGACAACCGAATTGAGTTTAGCTATACTGTGAATATGTCTGATATGGTGACGTTACCTGCATATAATCTCGAGTGACATCAAAATTGCCATCTTTTACATCTACGATGAAATCTGAAAAGAATAAAAACAATTTTAGGGAAACGCTTTATTCACAAACAAACCAATATGTTACAACAATAATTTACTGCAGTGGAAACAAACATTGTTTTTTTCTGCTTGAAAAGCAGAACGACAAGAGATACCTAACACAATTTGATTTTCCCAGAAAATACCATTTTTTGTTTAACAGTTTAAACGCGTATTGTGTTTTTCGTTAGAGGGTGGGGTAGAAAATGAATGAAATATAGTTTATCGACCCACTTTTCTGCACCGACTGGGCTAATGAATACGCTATGGGACAAATTTACCCGGACCGCGGCACCAGAGTCTATTTATGTTTTATGAACGACAATCGTTTACCCGGCTTAGAGTTCATTCTACCCGTTATCTTAATTATCATTTTGTCATTTGTGAATCAGCCATTATTATAATTACTTCTGAAATTGTCTTGCATGATATGTTTGTCTTGAAATTCTTGAAATTGTTGGTTTGTCATTTTATTTGTGGATATGAAACGTACGATTTAAAGATGCTTTCCCAGAAAAGTATTTATCGGTTGGTTCTTTAAAATAAAAGTATGTCAAATTTGGTATATATAGACACCCAATCTTACTAGCAAAATACTGGATTACCCGAAAAACGCCCATGGGGCAAGCATTGGTCTAAATTGTCAGGGCATCACTAACTGGCAACCCGACTGTTATCTGCCAGCTTTTTGGGTGCCAGCTTAAGTGAGGGAGCGATTGTTATTTCTTGATCAAATGTTTAGGCGGTTTTGGGAACATTGAGGGGTGTCAACGTACAAAAGACTCTGCAAATAAACGACGGAAAAAGAAGATGACAGAAATAACTAAGAATTTACTTAGAAGTCAATATGTATGGTAAATGGACAGTACGTAATGATAAATACATTCTGAAAAATGGACCCTCCCACAATGAAGCTAAGTTGGCAGACACTGCGTCTAACTACAGCTTACTTATAGCTATAAGTATCCCCGGCGAATACAAAGATTTGAGAGAGATTAGAAGCAAATTTTTGATAGATTGGTTACTTTGAATATGTTTTTAGTCCAAATATATCATCAAATCACATAGTTTGTACGCGGGAATGTATCTATAAGAATAATATTGAACATACCATACGGAAATCCACCAGAAAACACAGTATTAATGAAATTTCTGGCAAAATCAAACAGCGGTCCCATTCCGCCATCATCATAAGTAGCATCCGTTTTGTACGTTTGACCTTCCGGTAAATCAGACCATACTATATTGCTGTTACTATCGGCTGTATTAAGAACACTATCAGTTAATGTCTGTGGTGTTAAAACAGGATCAGCCGCCTCACAAAGATACACAACACAAAGTGTCAATAACACAATAGTTCTGCACAACATTATTGTGTCTTTTTGTACGGTTTACGTAAATAAAAACCTCAAAAATTCTTCTTGTTGTTGCAGTTGGTTAGAATCTATTTACACGTATTCTGAAAGATAAAAATAAAAGAACATTATTACAGATCCGATAATGATATTCACATGGAAAGGGTTATTGGACATGAATCGTTTGTAGTTCGAACCTGTTAGTGGGATATAATGAAATAAAATAGGACTCAAGAAGACGGGCATACGCCATGCGCTATGAAGGAAATTCCAACTTCCCAGGTTCTTCTACGTGCACACAATTAGTGTTTCGCCCCACCTGAAAGACTAAACGCTGACCCTTGCCAGGCACCCAACATACACCACTGAAAAGGAGGAAACCACACCGGAATATCCCTAGGGTCAAAGCCTTGACCGCCAGATTAGCGAGTCAGCTACATGACGATATTAGCGATGTCCATTTTACTAAAAGTATACCAGTCACAATTAATTGTTTGCCAGATGCAGACAGGTTTGCCGGTAACTTCTGTAACTAAAAATATGTATTTCTATTTCTGAAGTCAATAGAGACAAATAAAAAAAGTTCCTTTTAGTATGATTTCTCCATCGTAATCATCGCATATGATATAATTTCAGTAACACTATCCACACAAAACCATTATCGCCTGTTAATCAGATATTAACACAAAATTAACCAATGCAAGTCGATATTACATTATTCCCTTGATTATAAAGTATGTGTCTTATTACAGGTTGTCTTGTATACTACATGCGTTATAAACTATATAATATCCACCACAAGGTCGCAATGACGATCAAATACAACTATGAAGCTTATAATATATGAAAGGGTATAGCAAAAGGATAATCCACTAAATGCTTGTTCCGTCTGCATTAGCTCGGTAGGTGCAGTAGGACGTTAAACCCCTTTCATTCTGAGAGTTCGTCCGAAAGAACACAAGAGTAGCGTTATCACTCAATGCCTTCGCTAATTACTTCTTATTCTGGGGCTTTACGCCCGATTCCACCGAAGTTGATATCGGAACAAGCGTTAAATACTTAAAATCAGTCCGTTCTATATAAGGTCGATATCTCAACTGGTGTTGTGCAACAAAAAGATCTGTTCTCATATTTCAAATCATATCCTGGTAATTAAAAATACAATATAGGTACCCTCCCATTTCACCTACGTCCCATTTCGACTACAGTTTATAACAATAGATTATGGTCTGGTGATTGTGCACTGTAACAAAAATTTCCGTGAAAAAACGTAAAAAATTCCGGAAACAAAAATTACCAGGAAAATTTTATCCGTATTTGTTTTTCCTGTTATTTACAGAAATTCCTTCAATTAACATAAATTCCATTTTCAAATACAGAAAAAAAAAATCCTGGTAAATTTTGTTTCCTGACCATGAAGGTGATAAAAATTTCATTGAATTAACCATTGACTTTATACGCGTGCGTGAAATAGCTTTATTTAACGTCCGCTTCCACCGAAGTTATATCGCAAATAATTTTTAAACGTAACCTCTTTTCGCTATTATAAGAATCGAGAGCAAGGTATCTCAAACCGCTACTCGTCAGTGGTTGGAGGCTTTCAGATGTAAGTTTGCGGTATTATCAATTCGGAGGTATGCAGACTCTGCCATCGAGACAAACCGACTTACACTGGCCAACCGGTTGTACTATCCGGAATTTAGCGTGCTTGATTACCAGATATTACAACCTTAACACCCGCAGCATTAAAACATACTTTTACATATTTATGAAAATACTTACAATCTGATTACCGTATGATGAATAACAATACACTTTATAGATCTTATAAATAATGGAAATTAGATATACATGTCAATTAATATACCAAACGTTACAAAATATGATTCTTCATATTATGGTTAATAAATTGAAATGAATACTATAACATGATGATTATTAGGAATGATTATATATGTATACGATTACTTATCGTTGCACCGTTTATCCCGTAAAACAACAGAATTAAGTCCATTACAGAACGGAATAAAACATTTTATCCCTAAATTTCACGGAACTTCCTTGTCATTCCACCGTTTATTCCGTAAAATAACAGAATTAAGTCCGTAATAGAAGGGAATAAAACATTTTATCCCTAAATTTCACGGAAATTTCCTGTTTAATACTGAATATTCCACAGAAATACATAAAACACGTAATTTGAAGAAATAATTCAGACAATTAACACAATTTCTCCAAAAAATCCATCGATTAACAGAAAAAAGGTGTTAAATTACGGAATTCGGCCACATAAAAAATGGATATTTTTTACAGTGTGTGAAATAGCTTTATTTAACGTCCGCTTCCACCGAAGTGATATCGCAGACAAGGCCTGGTGAGTTTATTATCCCTACTTATATAGCTAAAATAGATTGGTCCATAAAACATCCCATTTAGGCTACTGCCTATAATAGATTATATCAAAACAAACAGAAAGAAGAATGAAAAATTAATTTACATAGAAATTGTATAAAATATGTAACAATATTTCGAATTATTTCAATAAATCTATAGAGGTTAGGATGACTGTGTGGTATGGTTTTATTCATTCTTGAGTGGAAACCTACTATAGGTTGTTAATTTTCCTGGGTCCAACAGTTTCAAAATGCTTCCATAAACAAACCGAAAATTTGGTAACGTAATCATTAAAATTCATCGGTGTTGTTGGTGATGTTTGGAGTTTCCCTACATTATATATTTTAACATGATAGATCAGTGCATTCCATAAATTATATATAAAATGTAAGTAAATTGTCTCAATTATATATAAGATGATAAATCAATACCTTGTCTACGTTATCTATTACATGTTAGATCAGTACATTCCCTCAAATAACGTGACGAGGAGTAGAGTCGCCTGTCCAACCTCGTGGGTTTTCTTTCCTATCACTGTTAAAGCGAATTATTGAAATAAAATTGACCCTTATGTTCGTCCCGAAATGACCTAGTTTGTTTCGAGTGGACGTTAAACCCCATCTCTCTCCCCCCCCCCCCTCAATTAAATCGGTATTACAGCTTCAGTACTTTAAAGAGGCGTGTTCGTGTCATACGCCGTAGTTAATTTGTTTTGTGCGTTCCTTGAATTAAAACAGAAGAGAGAGTTTAAGTTCCAATACTGTATTGTGTCAAAACATAATAAAATATAAAATCAATACAATGTACAATTTTTTGAGTCAATAGATTTTCAAATGAAAAATGAGTTATAAAAAATAGGGGAGGGGAGGGGGCTAACTCACTTGGCTGTGCAGAGGCACTATTTGTAAACCACGTTTATGTGTAATCGTAGGAGGTGACACCTGTACTTTATAAGCGGGCGTAGCTGCCGTGTTACATCTATATTTAGCTAATCATTTGCTCGCTTGGTTAAGCTCTTAAAAGCTTACATATGCAATTTACTCTCATATATGAAAAGTAAATATGATTTAGCGCGCATATTAAAGTGCAGCCAGCTACTTTCTTCGATTCTGATTGGCTGGAATTCATTTATCTCTTAACTGTGTGTTAGAGACGGCTATTTATCGATCCACTGTACAATGTTTATATAATACAAGTAAGGGTTATGTATAATTGATTAATACATCAATACACAATTTACTTGGGTTGATCTACTTAGAATTTACAGACAAGCAGTGGTGTACGTAGAGTTTGTCCCGCTCGGAATGGGCCTTGCTTGCGTTCGTATCCCTGTATCCCTTACCCCACCCGCCAAACAACATAATACAATACACACAAAACATGATTCAACAGTTGAATTCCAATTGTTAACCAAAAGAAAATAAAAAATGAAATTGGCGTCAGACATTTTGTAGCTTCGTACTGTTTTCAATACAATAGACCACAACTGCTACCCCCTCGTCATGGTAGGCTACTGATGATAACAAGCACGTGATACCCGCCATCATTTGACGAATGAATGAAACCGACAAAAATCATTAGGCAAAGTAAAGCTTTTATGGCTTGTAGCCTCCTACTGTTTTCAATACAATAGATCACAACCGCTACCCCCTCGTCCTGGTATGCTACTGATAACAAGCACATGGTACCCGCCATCATTTGACGAATGGCTGAAACCGACAAAAATCATTAGCCAAAGTAAAGCTTTTATGATTGTTTGTGTTTTTTAATCAAAAGATCCCATAGATAAACCTATACTTATCATTTAATGAATTTTGAAAATAATGATTAATTTTGTTATGATTCTGATAAGATTATTCCATTCGGCTCAGAAGATATAATCTACCTCATTCTATAACAACTACTAAAAAAATATAAGAAATGAATATCAGCTGAATTTGAAGGCCTGTTGAATAGACATGTTCTCTTTTGCAAAGCTGGAAAGCAATTGAAAACGTCTAAAAATAATTAAAATATATGAATACATATCATAAGGATGTACAAACTTAATTTGAAAATATACACCTTTTTAAAGAAATGAAATGAAATGGGGTTTAACGTCCTGTCGATCTACTCCAACTGGGCTAATGAAGACGGGCATACGTCATACAGTGTAATATGAGGGAAATTTCTTATATGAGGGACTACTTTTATATCCAATTCCAAATGCCAAGGGATCTTTTACGTGCACACCGATGTTACGGGACCTCCGTTTTTTGCCAGGCCCTCCGTCCTACATTACTAATAGGGGGAAACCACGCCGAACTTTCTCGGCCTTTTTTAAAGGTTTTCCTTGAGACTAGACTATATGTATTCATTAAATGTACGACATATTGTTTTTTTAATTTTCACAGTTATTGAAGCTGCTATATCGTATTTCTTAGTTTAAAAAAGATTTATATTTGTTCATGCACAAACTTGTTGACTCTATTATGAATACAAATAAAATCAAGTGGCTGTATTATATGTATTATATGAATGAACTACGGTTCTTTTAAACTTGAAGCCCTCTGGAATTATTTTGTTTTGTTAACAGACAATTTGGGTACATAGCAGCCTGGTTACGCGGGAAATAGTTTGCGCAATCGCTGCAAACAGTGACTGTGAAAAAACCCCAACAAAGGCTTAAAAAATCAAAAGGGTTAAAAAAGTGTTTGAAAGATAGATCAAT